GACCCTGGGATCATGACCTGAGCTGAAGGCAGACAATGGACTGAGCCACCCAGGCGTCCTTCTCTGAGCATATTACTATCTCCATGTTATTTTTTTTTTTTAAGATTTTATTTATTTATTTGACAGAGACACAGCAAGAGAGGGAACACAAGTGGGAGTGGGAGAAGGAGAAGCAGGCTTCCCACGGAGCAGGGAGCCCGATGCGGGGCTCAATCCCAGGACCCTGGGATCATGACCTGAGCCAAAGGCAGACGCCTAACGACTGAGCCACCCAGGCGCCCCTCTCCATGTTATTTTAAAGTTTTGGCCCCATTCTAACTTTGGAGTTCTAGTCTTTTTTTTTTTTTTTTTTAAGATCTATTATTTTACGGGGGAGGGGGGACGTGGTTGGGCGGAGAAGAGGGAGAGAATCCTCTGAGCCTTGAGCCTGACATGAGGCTTGATATCAGAACATTGAGACCATGACCTGAGCCAAAGTCGAGTCAGCGGCTTAACCGACTACGCCACCCAGGTGCCCCTGGAGTTCTAGTCTTTAATTACTTTAAAGACTAATTAAGTAGAGTCTTTCCATTTAATTTAATTTACCTGAATTTTCCCTAAATTTCCCATTTTGTCCATTGCATTAGCATTCTTGAACTTTTATTTTTTTTATTTTTTAAGATTTTATTGATTTATCAGAGACAGAGGCAGGCAGAGGGAGAAGCAGGCTCCTCGCTCAGCAAGGAGCCCGATGTGGGACTCGATCCCAGGACTCCGGGATCATGACCCGAGCTGAAGGCAGACGCTTAACCGATTGAGCCACCCAGGCATCCCACCATTCTTGAACTTTTAAAACCTTGGAGTCTTCCTGACTGTCCCTTACCCTTTTGATCAAGTCTGTTTTAAAGTCCTGCATCTTCCTGTGAACAGCTTCTTTGACTTGTTATACCTTATCTATTTTCATTGTTGCCTTTTTATTCTAGTGAATTTTACTTCATATCTAAATTATTTAAGCAGCCTTTCAGTTATATCTCATTTATCTAGGTCACCTTTTCTCTGTGCTCCATCTGGTCCAAAGTGACCAGATTAGATTAATTAAAATATCACTTGTTTTGCTGCTTTCCTATGACAGATCATACAGTTCTGCCCCATCACTATTAAGAACAAGTTTAGATTCTGGCGCTGAAAGTGGCCCATTTTACCTATCCTGCTCTCCCACATCTGCAAGTACTGTGTGGTTCTCTATATGTTCCATGTCTGTGCTTTTCTCCTTGCTTTTATAAGTGTTCTGGATCATGCTGGTGGTTGGACTGCCAAATCTCTGGATTTGTTCAGAAGAGCTTTCCTGATTCCTCAAGTCTGTGTTAGCTTCTTGTTTCCCTAAAAAATAATATTTTTCATCTTTCCCCAATTGATTATAAGCCCTTTGAAAATAGGTACATAATGTGTTCAACTTTCTACTTGTGCTTGGAAGTTTTAGAATAGGTAAACATTGAATTAGTGAGATTATTTAAAATATAAGCTAAACCGAAGTGTTAATAGAGGGAAACTTATGTGTTCAAAGATGATTTAAACTTTTAAGTTTTTTCTTTTCCTCTGCTAATTTGTCAGGTCTAATTGAAACCAGTAGCTTGTCAGTCACTTTTATTCTATAAATTTGGTACAGTTTTTATTAAATTTTGATAAGTTGATTTTCTGTTTAAAAATCATTGCTTCCCAGCAGACTTAGAAGTTTCTCAAATTGGTTACAAAAGTTATTAATTTGAATGTGATTTCAACAAACTAAAATCAAAATGTGAATCTGCTGGTATGTTCCTGGGAACAACATATCAGTGATCCTGCCCTCCGTGCTTGTCAGATAAAAATATTTGAAAGACATCATAGATTTCCTTTTAAGATGTTGGAAGAGTGATCTCTTGAGAATTTGAATCAAGATGAGAAAGCATCCAGTAGTGTGACTGTAACTAAAATACTTCACTGTTCTTCAAGAATAACCTAACAGGTCTGTGGAGGGTTTATTAGAGGGCAGCTGAAAGGCTGCTATGTAAGATAAGCCAAAGATTTTATTTTCAACTTGTAGAAGATATGCACAAATACAGGTACTGAGGGTCTCTACTTCAAACTCGAGTGTGTGTGTGTGTGTGTGTGTGTATGTATGTGTGTGGTGGGAATAGAAACAAAAGGTTTCCTGCACAGTGATGCCAAAATCAAGGTGATATGAAAAGGTGGTTTTTGTATATTTTCATTTTCTATCTTGAATTTGAGCTCCTGGAGGGTAACAGCTGTACTTGCCTACTGTTCCATGTCCTTGTGCCACTGGTAGAAGCAGAGTCCTAGGCCAGAAGGACCCAAAGAACAAGTGAATATGGCATTTTATATGTTCTAATCAGAGGCAATCCTTGATGGAAAGTTAGCTGCAAACATTTGTATGTGTGTTGTTTTTAAGAAAATGGTGGAAGAATTGGTCTAGAAGGATATCACTAATAAAGATGATGCTGTTACCTGTCTTTGGAGAAGTAGGCACCCTCCAAATACTCATGAGTGTGTTAGGATTAGAGAGAAAGGAGGAACCTCATCTCTAAACGTTCATCAAGTTAAGAGACCCATTGTTCCTTTACTTAATTTTAAGCACTTCTTGTTTTCTCATCATTTCTTACATGGTTATATCACCTATTTGGTTTTTCCTATTTCTCTGCTTATGCAGTACTTTGGAGTTTCATTTCTATTTTGATTTTCTGCTATTAAGAGGGATCTTTTTAAAGGGGTAGGCAAGGTATTGAATATTTTTCATATTACTCCTACATATTTTTATCAAAGAACACCATGTGAGTTTTGTTCCTTTTTTCTTTTTTTTAAATATTTTTATTTATTTATTTGACAGAGAGAGAACACAAGCAGGGGGGTGGGGGAGGGAGAAGCAGGCTTCCCGCCGAGCAGGGAACCCGATGCGGGGCTTGATCCCAGGACCCCAGGATCATGACCTAAGCCGAAGGCAGCCGCTTAACCGACTGAGCCACCCAGGGGCCCCTTGTTCCTTTTTTCAAAAGCAGAAGACAAAAAAGACCTCTCTACCTTGTTGTAAAAGAGCAACCTTGTTAAGCTTTTGAGCACAGAAATCAGGCTTAAGAAATCCATATTTCTATGGATTTCTTGGTCTAAAGACCATGACAGAAAACAGCCAAGAGCTGCCTGTAGGTTAAAATAAATTAATTTAGCATACTGTGTGACATATAGTGGGAGAAAGCAAATGATAGAAATAGGAGGGATAAAATAATTCAGGACTTAATGGCTAGCTTGAAAGTGGTTTTTGTTTTTATTTTTAGAAGTGGTGAGATGCCTTCATGACAGGAGACTGTAGCTTTCATTCTTTGCCAACCGGGGTACATAATTTGAGAGAGTCAGCAGCTATATTTTTCCTAGTGCTTAAATGTTATTCTTGGAAACTGTATTTATTTCATTGTTCTGAGCCCTTCCTCCCCCCCCCCCCATAAAGATTTTGAGAGCGAGGGAGAGATCAAGAGAGAGCACGAGCAGGGGGGCGGGGCAGTGGGAGAGGGAGAAGCAGACTCCCCAAGAGCAGGGAGCCAGATGTAGGACTCGATCCCAGGACCCTGGAATCATGACCTGAGCCAAAGGCAGTCGCTTGACCGACTGAGCCACCCACGCACCCCTTATTTAAACTTTAAAAGTAAAATTTAAAAGGGCCTGCATTTTCAAGATGCTTACAGACTGGATTTTGTAAGGAGTCATCTATTCATAATTAATGCCCTTTTCCAAAGGCTGTTAACAAATCATATATCTTGAGCCTTGTCTGAAAGCCATACCCTTCTAAAACTCAAGGGCCCTTCAGACAAGAGCATAGTGAGATAATTTTAGAATGAGATTCTGTCCTAGCCTCAGAACATATAGCTTCTAGTAACACATTCTAATGTCAAAAATCATTTCTATCTAAACACCTTCAAATACATGAGGATAGAGATGTCATTTTCACTTTCCTGCTCCTTTTTAATTCAAATAATGGTTAATCAGTCTGCTTTCTCATTGAGATTCTTTTAATCAATTAAAAGCTTGTCTAGTTTTAGATCATTGCAGAGTGTTTTCATCTTTCAAAGATCATGCTATAGTTTTCTCGTAGTGTACCAGGTAGCTAGAAGCTTAAGAAGATCATAGCATCTGTCTTGGTGATAGATTTTGGAAGAATCTGGAAGATGATCTGTTCTGACTTTGTCGGATTGAACTTTCAAGCTTTGATACTTTTCTTGAAGTTATTTCTACGTATTCGTCAATGAGGAAAATCTCTTAGCTGGCTTATTGTGTAGCTTGAGGTAGAAGCTCCCCCATATCTTGCCTTCCCCCGGCCCCCACTGTGTGTGTCTATCTACATTACTTGGCATATGACTGCAGGGTGTCTTGTGGTGTGTTTGAAAGTTTTACTAAGGAAGCACTGGCGTATTCAGATCTAGTGCTGTCTAGCATGCATAGTAAATGAAATTTGTTTTGGAGCTGAATCTTTACAGTCCCTGCTTTGAAGTCAAAGGGAATATTTTTCATTAAAACTATGTCTTTTGCTTGTTGTTTAAGTATATTCTTTGTGGATAGAAAGGTAAAGATAAAGGGAGATTGAGCAGATGCTGAATTGTTGCAGCTCTAGACCCTAGAGCACATGTGACACCTAACTCTCAGTCTAGCAACAAGTAGTAAAAGACGTTGGAATTCGTTTTTCCCCCCAACCAACCTTGACTTAAGTAAGACTGACAGCAAGGATTTAGTGATTAGAAATACTGTATGTACTTCGTTCTGCTACCTTTCAACAAGAATCAGTGTGTAAAGTTTAAATTTTCTGACCAGAATTTGGAAGACTATGATGTGATTCCCTGGGCCTGATTCGAGAAGAAGGAGCTCTCTGAATATGGGTTTATTAGTTGGTGAATTTGTGAGTCGCCAACTATTAGGCCTTTATGTCCAGATATTATCTTAATTTATGGAGTAAGGTCCCTGAGTTCTCCTCTTTCCTTCCACAGGGCAAGCAGGAGGACTTCAAGACGACAGTTCTGGAGGGTATGGAGACGGCCAAGCATCAGGTGAGGGTGGCATTAGATGCTTGCCACTTAGTAGCAAGAGCCGCCAAGTCAGGGATTGATGCTTGCAAGTGTTTTTGGCTATGGTATCCACATTTTAGCCAGAAGCGCAGGGGAAATATAACCCTCAGGACAGCGTAGTAGAATAGGAGAGAGTGTAGCCAGAACAAAGGCAAGCAAAACCTTTTGAAGTCCTCAGGCCGATCTCAGCCCTCCGCTCTTCATGTTTTTGAGGAGATGGCGGGTCCTTTTCTTCCCAGCAGCTTTTATAGTAACAGTAAACATGATATAAAACCTAGATTTAGGAATCATGGGACCTTTAAAAAGAAATATAGTTATATACACAGAGAGGAGAAGCCATAGGCCAAAAGCCTTCCCAAAAAAAGGGGGGCGGGTACAGAAAGGCCTTCTAGGACTAGTCAGAGGAATTATGCAGGCAAGGGACTCTTCAGAGGTGGTTGTTAGATAGTGTTGGGTACAATTTTTTTAATTAACGTTACATGGTTAATTATTTGTAGTTTAAACATTTTGTCACGTGAAAATTAATCATTTTTTAAAAGTCTATTCGAAATGCTCTTTCTTTTCAGATCGAACTGTGATATTTTTACTTCTAGGAAAAACTAAAGGGTTAAATGATTTATAGGGCCCATCTAGAGCTATTCAAGTTTGTTCCAGGAATTCAAAGTAGTATGTCTGGATTTCATCCTTTGCCCTGGATGTTTTTGTGTGGTTCAGTGCTCAAAGCTGACTGATACATATATTTTGATAGAACTGGAATAGGTATTACTTCACTTTGGAGTTTGTCACTTTTCAACTGTTAAGTCTACTTTAAAATTATTTCTCTTTTGCAGTTGTGTACAGCAGGTCCAGGAAATATTTGTATTTTACTCTTGGGTCAAAGTTCACTGTTAATGCAGAAATTAGTATATAGGTGATCCAGAATGTTAGAAGTAAACATGCTTAAATGCTATCCCAAGTATTGGAGGTTGATAATCAGTACATGGTTATCTTAGAGGAGTTAAAATCCTCATTCAGAGTCTCTCTGGCAGATAAACCTTCAAGAATGCTGTTCATCAAATGATGCACAATTGGATCTTCCATGGAACTGTTGAGGATCAGGGATAGCCTTTAGGGCTTTAATCTTGAAGAAATAAAATGAGTTTTCTTGTTGCTTTTTGTTTTAACGTGGATAAATTGACTCTTCTGCTTTAGTAAACAATATATTGTATTGCTGAAAGTAAAAACAGACTTTCATATAAAACTGTGGTGCTTCTGACTTACTGTTTAGTAGAACATGAGGTGTTTTTTTTTTGTTTTTGTTTTTTTAAGTGTTTCCAAGAATGGTGGGGATTATTCTGAACCCTTCAAGTCTCTCTTCAGATCTTCGCCATGTTCAGAAGCGTGCATTTGTGAGATGATCAGTTAGATCGCTTATAAGCGATCAACATTCTGTTTTTAATAAAGCCAAATGACCCTCATAAGTATCTTGGGACCAAGATCATATCTTGACTTTTATAAATCCACATCAAGTTGATGTATTCATCCTACATCTTAAAAGTTAGAAGGGAACTTAAGGTCATTTTCTCCAGCTTCCTGTCGTTGAACAGATAATATTGTATCCACCCCTGTTTTATGGATTAGGACCTGAAGTACAGTTAAATGATATGACCCAGGATACACCAAAGGTTGGAGGAGTGGAACCCAGAGGTCTTCTTTCTTATGCATAGACTAGTCCTTATACCCTCCCCTCCCTCATAGAATCATTTAAAGTGTATGTTTACCCTAAAAATAAAAGATGTAAAACATAAGAAATCATGATGCTCTTTTTTTCTTTTTCTCTCCTTTCCCTCTGTTCCTTATTCTTTTTGTCTTTAAAACTATTATAGGACTGGATATGGTGCATCTGTAATTTACTAATTTTAAGTAGTCTTTTATATGTAGATTCTTGTCAGGCTTTTATTTTCACTCTTCAACTAGAAAACTAGTCATTCTAGTTATTTTGTCTACTTCATGAAGAAAAAAAGGCAAGTAACTTTCATGGAGGCCTCCTTTCTGTTATTTTTTATATCTCTGTTACCTCACTCTACTCAATGCTACCTATATCATCAGAATCAGGGAGGAAGTCATTTCATGGAATAGAGGATTTATATCCTCATCTTCCCCTGCCCCTTCTCTGTGTGTCTAGTCTATCAAAAAAGGTCTTTATAGTCCCTTCAGTATTTTATGACTTTTACTGTGTTTTCAGAGAAACTGTGAGCCAGTCAGACCATTAGAAAGGGCATTTCTGCTTTAGCATGACTGCATTTTGAAAGGTGATGCTGGAATTTCCTGTGTGAAGTGTGGGAAAAAGGAATTGAACTGAGGGGGCAAGATAGATATATAGGCAACCTTGGGGCTTTTAAAAAATTAAGGTTGCATCTTTGAAACATTCTCAATTTCCAGAATACCAGACTTTGTTAAGTGCACACAAACGCCAAGTATAAACTACTTTTGAATGAAATGTACTACTAGTACTTCCTTTTAATAAGGATATTATTAAAGTCAATTGTATTCTTTAAGGTTTTTCCCTCTGAAGGAGATATTTATGAGTCATATTGTCCAGAATGGTCTATTAGTTAATTTTGGAAATATCCTATTAAAAGAGTGCTTTGATTTAGCTTCTGAATAGCGTGGGTTCCAACTTAAAATTTTTTGTTTCTTTGATAAAAGGTTAGATTTTTTTTCTTACACAGTTTTCATCTTTATATGGATAATGGTCTTCCTTCCTTGAAATAAGTCTTCAAACCTAAAAATCAAAAGGAATAAAATAATTATTGAGTTTTTAGAAGCTTTTTCATTTTTAAAAATTGACAAGTATTTAACAATAGGTGTTTTCAGATGTTTTGTAGAAGATAGAGATGGAGAAGATTATTGTTCCACACATACATTAGTGTCACAATTTTTGGCTTCTTTAATTCCTTTTGTTAATCATTTGTTTGATTTAAAGATACTTTTAAAACTGCCACATGACTTAATGTAAATAATATTTAATTGTTACATAGTCTCAAGATTCCCAAAGTTAGCCAACTAATTTAGAGTAGTTTTTGATAATAAGAGCACTTAGAATGAGGAGCCAAATGTAATATAAAATTTAGTGTTTTTCCCTACGTGGTTTTTTTTGACTGTTGTTGACGGTAGTATTTTGCAGGGGGATTGATGTTCCGTGATGACTTAATAAGCATGTAGAAGGTAGAGCTAAGAAAACTACCCGTTTTGGGGAGGGGGGAGTACAGTTTATAGAGTTCATTGGTTTTCACGTCAGTAGTATACACTTATGAAGGTAACCTATTTTAAGTGATCTTTGTTCTGAGTACTTGGGATTATTGTGTAGATAATGCTCATTATAATGTGTCATGTTATTGTTCTTGGTTTTATTTTTTGTTTATTTGATTGTGGGTAAGGGGCTAGGGGACATCAAAGCTCTGTGTAGTTTTAGAAAACTTCACATTACTGAAATAACCTATACCCCTGTTGCCAGCATTTCTTCTCTCCTTGCCTTAATTTCATGTTCCACTCTCAACAATTTGGCTCTTACTGATTATTTTTTTCCTTAGGGAATAATTAACTGTCCTGACAGTCTTTAAGTTGAGATTCACTAAATGAGAGAATTGTTGATTTGATTTGGTAATGTGAGTATAGTACATGTGCCCTCATTATCTACTGTGAGTGGATAGATTTTTTTCCTTCTCTCCCAAGGATATTGTTTAGTGTGCTGTTCATATTAGCATTAGGCATTTTTGCTTGACCTCTTGTTAACCATTTTTGTCCGAGTTACTGTTTATAAATGTCTTTGTGGAGACAGCACTTTAATAACTTAGCTATCATTTTCTAAGTTATATCTATACTTGCCTTGTTCTTTTTATTTTCTTAATCTTACCCTGCCTTTCCTTTAATTTTGTTTCCATTATCGGTGTTTCTGACTTCTTGTTTTATGTGCTTTAAATGATTAAATATGGATATCGGTGGGTGCATATTTCATTACTTATATGTAATTCAGTGGTATTGAATTTTGAAACTCTTTATGTCTTGATATTTTAATAAGCTGGTGGTTAAATATCTTTTATAGGGTGATCTTAGAAATACAGGTAGAATACATGTAAATGTGTTTCTAAGGACATCTTATAAAGATGTACTTAACTATCAGCTTATAAAAATAGTCGATTTAATACCCAGTTTTAAAAGTTTCAGAATGATATATATTTTACTTGTACAGAGAATATGTATACATTATATTTATATGTAGTGGGTAGAATATGCAGTAACACACTTGTGTAGTTGTAGTAAAGCATCTCTGATGTTTTTGCTGGGAAAGGTAAATTCCTTGCTTCTGTCCTCATTGTAGTCCGCCTAACTTATCTCACTGCCAGCATTGCATTATGGGAACTAATGGGTGGTACCATTGACCACATAATCATGCATTTCTTACTGTTGGTTATTAAACCTTAAAGTCCTCTCCATGTTCCCTGCTCTAATCTTAAAAGAAGGCATGTGGTTGTTTTTCACTCTAGTCTCTCTTGCTTTCCTTTTAGTGTATTTTCCTTTATTCTGGTTCCTTAGTTTTAAGATTTCGGGAACATTATCAGTGATGCTAATTTTAATTAGAGTATCTTCCAGGATTATAAGCTGTTTTGTGGATGAAGAAAATATGCTGCATGCTTTGTTATGTTTTCGGAGGTACATTGTTTCACTCATTAGTAAAATGTAATTTTTGGAATATTACGCTCAAAAGAGTAAGTAAATTCTAAAGATGTGTCATCTTTTGAGCAAAATAAAAGATTTTTATTTTAAAGGAGGTGAGATCAGTCTGTGAATGAGGCAGAGCTTTACAGGCAAAAAAGGAGTTTCACTATCCCTGGTTTTGTATTCACTTGCACTTTTCCCAGAAGTCCTTTGCTTTCTTTGCTAGGTGTGGAGGGTGCAGCTTTCCAGAGTAGACTTCCTCATGACCGGATGACTTCTCAAGAAGCAGCCTGTTTTCCAGATATCATCAGTGGACCGCAACAGACCCAGAAGGTTTTTCTGTTCATTAGAAACCGCACAGTAAGTTTCCATGTCAGCTTTTTTCCTGTTTGGATTACTAAAAAGCACATATTACTTTTATGGAAAATATGGGAAAAAAGAGAGGGAAGAATTACAGAATTATCTATAACATGTACCATTACCCAGAGGTAACCATTGTTAAAAATTAGTTTTTTCCCTTCAGTTATTTTTTTTTTTTTTTAAGATTTTATTTATTTATTTTGATAGAATGAGAGACAGAGTACATGAGGGGGGGAGGGTCAGAGGGAGAAGCAGACTCCCCACCGAGCAAGGAGCCCGATGGCGGGACTCAATCCCGGAACTCCAGGATCATGACCTGAGCCAAAGGCAGTCGCCCAACCAACTGAGCAACCCAGGCGCCCTCCCTTCAGTTATTTTTTTAAATGTATATTTAGTTTTTGTTTTTAAAAAATTGAAATGCTATTTCCATACATTCTTTGGATCCTTTTCATTCTTCATAACCTTGTAAACACAAAGAATCTTCATTTAAACTTTTAATTTTTTTTTTAAAAGACTTTATTTGACAGACACACAGTGAGAGAGGGAACACAAGCAGGGGGAGTGGGAGTGGGAGAGGGAGAAGCAGGCTTCCTGCAGAGCAGGGAGCCCGATGCGGGGCTCAATCCCAGGACCCTGGGATCGTGACCTGAGCCGAAGGCGGATGCTTGATGACTGAGCCACCCAGGCACCCCATAAACTTTTAATTTTTTATTTTAAGTAAACCAGGCCACATGTTTGGCTCAAACTCACAACCCTGAGATCAAGAGTTGCATGCTCTACTGACTGAGCTAGCCAGGTGCCCCGAAACTTTTTTTTTTTTTTTTTTAAAGGAGGGCAAGGACAGAGGGGAGGAGAAGGAGAGAGAGAATCTTAAGCAGGCTCCACACCCAGCACAGAGCCAGATGCAGGGCTCAGTCTCAAAACCCTGAGATCATGACCTGAGCCGAAATCAAGAGTCAGATGCTTAACTGACTGAGCCACCCAGGGGCCTCCCCCGTCCCCCCCCCCCCCTTTTTTTAAGATTTAATTATTCTGGAGAGAGAGCATGAACTAGGGGAGGAGCAGAAGAGAGGGAGGGGGGAAAAAACGTTAAGCACAGTCCGTACTGAGCCCATCGTGGAACTCAATCCCATGACCCTGAGATCATGACCTGAGCCAAAACCAAGAGTTGAGTGCTCAACTGACTGAACCAGCCAGGTGCCCCCCCACACATGTTTTTTAAATTATTAAATAATCATTTTGTCTTTCTTTCCCAGGATAAGAGGAACTCTTATTCTGTTCTGCTTCTCTGCTTCAACCTCCTCCTCTGGCTAAATGCTTGATTTTATTTTATTTATTTATTTATTTTAAAAAATATTTTATTTATTTATTTGAGAGAGCATGAGAGAGACAGCATGAGTGCACAGCAGGGGCGGGGGTAGAGGGAAAGGGAGAAGCAGACTCCCCACTGAGCAGGGAGCCTGATGCGGGGCTCGATCCCAGGACCCTGGGATCATGACCTGAGCTGAAGGCAGACACTTAACAACTGAGCCACCCAGGTGCCCCTGATTTCAGCTACTTTGAGTATAGCTCGGAGATGTCATTTTAGGATGTCTGCTTTTTAGCTACCACTAACTTCTTTATTTTGGCTCTTAGTTTGCAAAAACCCCTGCTGAATTTAGATTGTTAGCTAGAGTGAGTGGTGGGTTATACTGGGTTTTCATAGTACAGAAGAAAGGGATTTTTGAGTGAAGAAAAAACGTGATTTTTTAAAAAAGTAAATGGGAAATTCTTAATGTATATTTCTGACACTTATTTGTCTTAGAATTCGGCTTCTGTGTATAACATCAACATTTTATCTGAATGGATTTTTTTAGGTGGTACCTGGCTGGCTCGGTCAGTAGAGTATGCGACTCTTGATCTCAGGATTGTGAGTTCAAGCCCCACGTTGGATATAGAGCTTACTTAAAATTGATTAGTTAATTAGAAGTGTATTTTTTAGATAAGGTCATTTTTTTGTTTCATCTGAGGAAAGTTTTCACTCTTGAATTTGGTGGATTTACAGTGACCTTTGTTTTCTCTGATTTATATTCTGTGACCAAAATCCAGATTTGGGGAAGGAAGGACTGGCCCAAGTTAGAGTTGTGGACCTCTGGCTATAAAACTGAACATAAATCGTTCTCTTATAAGAATTGTATCAGCGGCGCCTGGGTGGCTCAGTTGGTTGAGCGACTGCCTTCGGCTCAGGTCATGATCCTGGAGTCCCTGGATCAAGTCCCGCATCGGGCTCCCTGCTCGGCAGGGAGTCTGCTTCTCCCTCTGACCCTCCGCCCTCTCATGTGCGCTCTCTCTCGTTCTCTCGGTCTCAAATAAATAAATTAAAAAAAACCTTAAAAAAAAAAAAAAGAATTGTATCAGTTCTTTTGCTTACAGATTTTGAAACCACAACAACTTTAGAATTATTGAGCTAAAAACTACGACCCGAGCTTTTTTTTTTTTTTTTTTTTAATAGGATGGACAGAGGAAGAAGGCTTATGTTGAGGGGTGAGGAACTTGGGCCTGGTGTGTACTTGAGGAAGTCCACTTTGCGTTGACAGTGGCCACCGAGAAAAGTAGAGGGTGCTTATGAATTTGGTCGTATCTCTTTGTAATTGGATTTATTTACACATAGCTATGTTTCTTTGTTGAAACTTGTCTATGGAAAAGTTAATTTTTAGCGAAGATTTAAATATGGTGGCATTTAGTTGGTCTTGCCTATTCAATTTGAAGAGCATTTGTGTTAGAGCCTATTGATTGTACTATAATATTTTTCATTCCTTATCTTAGTGCTTTTTCAGCAGTTTTTTAAATAATTGACTACTCCTTCTTAAACTCTTAAACTTCTCTTCCCTTCTCTTAAACTCCCTTAGCTTAACACCGTATTCTGGTTCTTCTCCTGCCTCCCTGGTTATCTTCTCTGACAGTTTTGTAGACTTATCTTTATTTATTTTTTTTTTTAAGATTTTATTTATTTATTTGACACAGCATGAGTGAGCACAAGCAGGGGGAGTGGCAGGCAGAGGGAGAGGGAGAAGCAGGCTCCCCACTGAGCAGGGAGCCCAATGTGGAGCTCAATACCAGGACCCTGAGATGACCTGAGCCGAAGGCAGACACTTAACCAACTGAGCCACCCAGGCGCCCCTGTAGGCTTATCTTTAAAAACAGCCATTATGTGAACTGGTTAGAATTCCTTAAGGCTCCTTATGGTCTTTTCCTCCCCCTGCTATATATTCTCCTGAGGAGGTCTCTTCTGCACATTGGCTTCAGTTATCACCCATAAGCAAATGGCTCCAGACCTTAACTCTCCTCAGAACCCTAGCTCGTATCTAGATGCCAATCTTGTATCTCTGGGTTGTCTTGAAACTGAATTCACCTCTTCTTTCAGTGGCCCTCATTTAGTGAATAGCATACCAACTCATTTAGTTGCGCAGGCTAAAAACTGGAGATATCCTTGGTACCTCTTCCCTCCCCCCTCCACCTTTGCATATCTAATTGATCTTTGGATTTTGTGGATTTTTATCTACTCAGTATCTCTGGAGTCATGAAACCCAGCTTAAATCCTAGTTGGTCCCTACCAGCTGTATGATACTGCCAAGTTACTAGGTTTTTTTGTTTTTTGTTTTAGGCTGAATATCTTCCAGCTTCTTCAGTAATTTACTCATTTGACATGGTTTTGTGTTTCATCAGTTTGTCAGGAATATAACCCTCTGTTTCAATGAAAGGAAAGCCTGTATTAGAGGCCTTAAAGTTGAAAAGATATTTTAAACTGGTCAAGTGGTCTATGTCTACTTGTGTAATAAAATTTCTGTCATTTAAATACAGTTGCAGTTGTGGTTGGATAATCCAAAGATTCAGCTGACCTTTGAGGCTACCCTTCAACAATTAGAAGCACCTTACAACAGTAAGTAGTGTGAAAAGTGGGACTAGTTTTGGCTCATGATTCATTGATAATGAATTTTGTCAATTCATATTACCATCTTACTTTACCTTGTGCTATGCAAAAATAAGCCTTATAGGAAACTATTATGTATCTTTGTAATGATTTTCTTGGTTTTTAAGTTGTGAGTTCAAGTGATTGCTAGTAATTTCACTAGGACTGTGTTCCAACTTTAATCCCTGGAGTACTTTGTTGACATTTGATTGGCTGGCTGGCTGGCTTTCTCGTTTTCCAGTTACCACCCACAAAGTCTTGAAAAGTTTTTGCCAAAGTAACTGATTATAATACTACTTTTAAAAGGGTTGGTTTTATCCTTTATTTCATCTGTAATGGAATGTCATTCTTAAAAATTCCAAATTATGTGATAGGCATTTTGGACTACATCACAGACTAATAGTTCTAGGAATCATTTTTCTAAAGGAATCACATGATCTGAAGCTTACGGAAAATATGTATAGAATAACTTCATGATGGAAAAACAAAAGAGTTAAAGAGCTTTCTGTTTAAACTGCTAAAAATATGAACATGTTTTAAAATTCATTTATTCTGTAGGTGATACTGTGCTTGTCCACCGAGTTCACAGTTATTTAGAGCGTCACGGTCTGATCAACTTCGGCATCTATAAGAGGATAAAACCCCTACCAAGTAAGGACCTGGCGGATGGACTTAATAGTTTTAAGTTACAGTTCTAGGACTCTCTTTTATTTCCAGGAGGCTTTTAGCATTTTATTTTGATTTCTAAGTCTAAATTTGGAGTCCGATATTCCCAAGCTTATTTCATTATATGTCAGATTTAAAGTAAAATCTCTTCATAAATATGCATTTCCTGTAATTTCTGGTTTGATAAGTGTACTTTAGTAGAAGATACTGAATTTCCAATATAAGAAAAATCAGAAAACAAAATAGTTAAAAACGAGAGAAGTCCGTTTTGAAAGCACAGATTTGAGGTTTTCTTTCATTGACCAGTTCTTTATACTGCCAGGAATCTAGGGTTTAGGGATATTTTGAGAATTAACACTTTTATTTATTTTTAATTTATTTTTGATGCTTTAATAATCTTCAAAAGGGGATAGTAAAGACAGCAGAAGTAGAGCTTAAGGAAAACAGCTTTAAGAATAATTTGTCTGTCAGATTGTCCTAGTATAATTGTGAGATAAATGAAGCAGACTATTCATAGTAAGTTAACCAGTCACAGATACCAAAGCACATGACCATGGTATAATGAGAAAGTATATCTTTAAAGATAAAGGATTTCATTTATAAATTTTTAATATTGAATTAAAGCTTATAAGTTTCAGATATTTGCTAATTTGTATTCAGATAGTTTCTCTATTTTAAAAATAAGTGAACTGTTTACTTTGTAAGACATCATGACATGTTGAGAACTAGAGGTTTTCATGATGTAAAAAATGGTAAAATAAACTCTTAAACCTACAACAAAATATTGTAATTTTTATTCGTTTTTTACTTTTAGCTAAAAAGACAGGAAAGGTAATTATTATAGGCTCTGGGGTCTCAGGCTTGGCAGCAGCTCGTCAATTACAAAGTTTCGGAATGGATGTCACACTTCTGGAAGCCAGGGTAAGAATTTTATATTGTGTTTAGAAGCCTGACCTAATGAAAATAGGTATTTATCAATGCAATAAGAAATTATCTATTGCAAATTAATGAGTCCCACAGCTTGAACTAAACCAAACTGATTTGTATACTACTCAAAGTATTTTAGGTAATTGTTACTTACATTGGATAAAGCATTTTTGACAGTGAAGCTTTGAAAGGTGCTCAGTGAGTATTTAGAGTTTGTAAATGATCCATGTAGCTCTTTGATGGATATTTTCAGGTTATTGTTTCTTGTAGTTAATTCTCAAATTTTGGGCCTTCATGGACGTGCCCTTTGTAGGTGGCAGGTATTTTTAGTGGTGGAACAGAGTGGATTGTATTCCCTGTTTGATAGTAAAAGAAAAGGAGTGCATCTCAGGCAACAGTCATCTCTTAGTGCCTAATGCAGCCAAGATACGTTCATTCCCTTATCATCAGTCCTAGAAAGAAATGGAAATTGAAGGAGGAAAGGGATGATGGCACAAAGTGGAGAAAATGAACGTCATGTTAAGATGCTACTATTCAAATTATTTTCATGAGTGATTTTTGACATTTAGTTATCTTCCAGTGGCTTATAGGCCTCCCTGGACTTACACCATTTAAAAAACAAAAAAACACTTCTCAGGTAACCTAAACGGTCTAAAATTTTATAGAAGCTTTTAAAATATTTTGTGCAGTACATCTAAGTTGCTTTTTTGTAAATTGTTAATTTTTTAAAATATTCTTTTCAAATAAAGTATGGAGAAATCAAAGTAATTTTTAATAGTCTTGCTAAAAATAATATTTTATAGATAATTTAGGAAACATTTGTGTGCCCTCTTGTCCTCTGTATTAGCAATACAGTAATGAATAATGGGACCATTCTGATCCCTACCCATAATCTAACATGTTAACCTAACATACAGGTTTTTTGTTTTATTTTGCTTTCGTTTTTTTGGAGGTTAGAGTGTTCTCATAATATCCATGATTAAAGTGTCGCTACAGCTCAGTAATTTTTCCCCATATTTGAAAATCCCGAGTTAGCAGAGATAAACTTGGACTGGACCTGTTGAGGAATGAGAGATACTGTCAAAAGTTTATGCTCAGTAGACCCTCTGCCCCTGGGTATGGGGCTGCACTAGAGGACCATTTGAGAAGTCATCTGTCATTCACAGCTGACTTTAGGGATGGGGGGCAAAAGTCAGAACATGGTGATAGAAAGATGGCATTTAGTGTTGCAATTTGTGAACGGATATTTTCTGTGTGAGTGGCCCTTGCTCAGCCTGTACAGTAAATGGTATTAGAGACAGCTGGGTAGAGAGATATAGTACCTGTGGCTAAATATGTCTGGCTGTCAAATTGTTTATCTCCTATCACTTAATTCTCTGTCATTCATTACCTACCACTCCCTCAAATAGTTAAACTTCACTCACTCTTTGTGCCCACACTGCATGCCATGTATACTCTAAACTATACCTTTCATTTTAAATTATAAGAGACAGAGGCCTGGGGTGGTACCATGCCAGGTTTTTATGGTTAAAATAGAATTGATGATTTTAGCCATTTAATTTTTGAAAAACAGGATCGAGTGGGTGGACGAGTTGCTACATTTCGCAAAGGAAACTATGTAGCTGATCTTGGAGCTATGGTAGTGACAGGTCTTGGTAAGTAGTCCTTAGTTTCGTGCTGTTATACAAGATCTGAGATTCATGATTAACCTTATGTTTTAAAGCCATAAATGTGGTTTTAAAATATTTTGGTTTAAGATACTGTTCTTAATGTTAGAGGTGAATTGACAAATAGTCTTCCTGAAAAGTACATCGATATTTGCAAAATTTAAATTGTACATATGTTTTGACCTAGCAGACTCAGTTCTAGGACATTATCCTAAGAAAATAGACAAGTGGACCATGTAGTTTGGAACTTTTAATTTTTTTTAATTTTATTTATTTTTTGTTTAAAGATTTTATTTATCTATTTGAGAGAGTGCGCTCAGGGGCGCCTGCACATGCCCAAACAGAGGGAGGGGCAGTGGGGGAGCAAGAGAATCTCAAGCGGGCTCTGAGTTGAGCACAGAGCCCATCTCAGGGCTTGATTTTTCAACCTGGAGATCACGACCTGAGCCGAAACCAAGAGTCTGAGGCCTAACTGACTGAGCCACCCAGGTGCTCCTGGAGCTTTTTAAATGTGGCATAGCAAAACATTAGAACCCATGATTCCGAGGATTATATTGTTATACAAAGAGAACTCTACAGCCACTAAAAATTATGTAGCTTTATATTAACATGACAATGGCCACAGTTTATTGCTAATTTGAAAAAAGATTACAAAACAGTACATGCATTGTGATCCTTCTCTGTGTGTGTCTATAATTTTATGCACATAAAATCTAGAAGGAGCTATAATAAATTTTTTTTTTTTTTTTAAGATTTTATTTATTTGAGAGAGAGAAAGCATTGGCCGGGGGGGGAGGAGGGTAGGGAGAAGCAGGCTCCCCGCTGAGCAGGGAGCCCGACGTGGGGCTCGATCCCAGGACCCCTGGGATCATGACCCTAGCTGAAGGCAGATGCCCAACCGACTGAGCCACCCAGGCGCCCCTAGAATCTATAATAAAAAGTTAACATGGGGGGCGCCTGAGTGACTCAGTCGTTAAGCGTCTGCCTTCGGCTCAGGTCATGATCCCAGGGTCCTGGGATCCAGCCCCACGTCGGGCTCCCTGCTCTGCGGGAAGCCTGCTTCTCCCTTTCCCACCCCTCCACTTGTGTTCCCTCTCTTGCTGTCTCTCTCTCTCTCTCTCTCTCTCTGTCAAAATAAATAAATAAGATCTTAAAAAAAAAAAGTTAACATGGGGTTATAGGTAATTTTTTGCTTCTTTATGCTTATCTTACATATTTCATATATTACATATTATTTTACTGGGCATTTTTTTAATCTATAATTCACATACCCAAAACTTTGAGTATTTTAAATTTCAAGTAAAAATACTTTTGCTTTGATGTGTTCTCTTTTCATAGATATGTTGAATTTAATAGTTTGAGTTTTTTTTAGGAGGGAATCCCATGGCTGTGGTCAGCAAACAAGTAAATATGGAATTGGCCAAGATCAAGCAAAAATGCCCACTTTATGAAGCCAATGGACAAGCTGTAAGTTGAGGACAAACAGAACTTTTCAAAATTTCTTTGGTTCAGTTGAAATAACAATTTGGGGAAAATGTGTGGATGAATATACACGCATATCTGTATGAACTGAGGGTAGAAATTGTGACTTTCTGATTGTTCCTTAACTATGAGCTGTATAGGAAGGGCTTATTGCATATATGCAAATTTACATGCTTATTTAGGCATTTATCTTTAGACATTTAACGAAGGCTAGCTAGACAGGTTTTTTTTTGTTTTTTTTTTTTAATTTGGCTGTGGCCACCTACTAAGAGACCTGTGGAATTGACACCTGATTCTTCATTTCTTTGTATTGTGCCTCTCATCATGTGCTTTAGCTCTGTGTGCTCTTTATGACTTCAGTTTTGTGTGTGTAGGTTCAAGATTTTGATGAACTAATAGCCAAATGGTAATACTGAACTCAGATACTTAGGTAGATTAAAATATTTGTTGACCAGAGGCATAGAAGCTTCCCATACTTAGTAGGCAGTAGCATAGCAGTGATGTTTGCTCTGAGAGAGTAAGAGTAGTTTAACAACTATGTTGAACGGCTTAGACCATGTAAGTCAGTCCTAATTTTGGGGGGTGGGTGCAATTCAAAAGTTTATATTCAGAATTTTACCAACTCTCCCCTATCATGAATGAGCAAGTTTACCATTCAGGATATAAGCATGTTATCATTTTTATATTTTGAGGAAGGGAGGATTCATGATGCATATGGCAGTTTAGCTATTGTGGCTAAAAGTGGTAAGATCCCAACTCTTGAATTTAGTCTGCTAGGTCCAGTGGACATTCTCACTAAAGCCTTTAGGCTTTGTGGGGTTCATACCAGAAGAGGACAGACATAAGGGAATGCTTTGGCTCCTATCCTCACCATTCTGGATTCAAATTCCTCCCAGGGCTTGTTTTGGGGGTGGGACAACCTTCTGGCAGAATAAACAAAATAGAATGAACAAGAGAAAAAGGACGAAGTAGAGCTTAACTCAGCAATTCAATCAACTTTTGTTACTCTGTAAAGGCTATAGAGATGAGTAAGACAGTCCCTGCCATAGAAGAGCCCACAGTCTAGTGGGACTTATACACAGATAATTGTTTCCCAACTTTTTATTGTGGAAATTTTTTTTAAGAGTTTATTTATTTATCAGAGAGAGAAGAGAGCACAAGCAGGGGGAATGGCAGGCAGAGGGAGAAGCGGGCTGCCTGCTGAGCAGAGACCCTGATGCGGGACTCGATCCCAGGACCCTAGTATCGTGACCTGAGTCAAAGGCAGACGCTTAACCAAATGAGCCACCCAGGCATCCCTATTATGGAAAAAAGATTTTTTTTTAAGATTTTATTTATTTATTTGACAGAGACAAAGCGAGAGAGGGAACACAAGCAGGGGGAGTGGGAGAGGGAGAAGCAGGCTTCCTGCAGAGCAGGGAGCCCGACGCGGGGCTCGATCCCAGGACTCTGGGATCATGACCTGAGCCGAAGGCAGATGCTTAACGACTGAGCCACCCAGGTGCCCCCTTATTATGGAAATTTTTAAACCCATACAAAAGTAGAAAGAATAGTATAATAATGGACTTTCATTTATTCTAGTCTTGTTGCGTCTATTCAGTCCCTTTGGTTTTTTGTTTTTGGGGTTTTTTTTTGGTCTGGAGTATTTTAAAGCAAATCACAGTCAATCAGCAAGTATTTATTAAAATATTTGCCAAAATCTAGGCATTCTTCTCAGCATTGATTATGTATTCCCTGCTCTCAAGGGTCTTAAATTCTGGTGACTCTAGATATCTTATGAACCCAGGAGCATCGGGAATTATACGTGTCATTAAAATCTGTGGTATACCCCCTCAAAAAAAACCACACCCCAACCAGAAATATACTGCTTATACATATATCGGTAACACAAGGCAGATGTGCCAAGGGTTAGATAAAAGGATAAATTGCTATGGAAGAGCCAGTGGGGAGGAGGAGAGAGAAAGAGTCAAAGTCTCTGAAAGTGGGAGGTGCAAGAGTGGGGAGAGAAATGGAGGGAAAGAGAGCATTTGTGAAGGTGGCTTAGGACTTAATGTGGCTGTGGAGGAAGGTTTAAGACCAAGAAGTCTCTGAAGGAGGTTGGGATTGTACTGGTGGGGCTAAGATACAAAACAAGTTGAGGGTGAAGGATGTTGCTTACTAGGCTGATTTGTAGGTTGGGACTTCAGAGGGTTGAGAGCAGAAGTGACATTACCAGATGGGTGTTTTAGGTAGATAGGCAGTAGAGAATTGAATTGAAGCAGGGCTTCTGAGGTGGATATTACATTAGTCCTCAAGAAGTAATGGAATCCACACCAAAGGTTATCACTGATGATTGAGACACTGTTTTTTTCTTTAGCCTTTCCCGAATATAGAGCAGGTTTATTTAGTCTTTGTAACAGTAAAAAGAGTTTTTTTCTAATAGAAATATCCAGAGAAATTCTCTTCCTTTCTTGGTATTAGAAGAACTTTAACACATTTTTAAAACATTTGTTTCTAAATAGTATACCAGTATTCCCCTCAGGTGTGGCCTGCACCCAGCTGCTAATTCATGAATTAGCTGTTGGTTTCCAGTATGGGATGAGATAAATATGTTGCTTGTGCTCGAATGTAAAATAAACTACATCATTAATCACACTGTTAGTTCAAATGATGATTTGGGGGAGTTGGGCTGAGTAGCAAGACTTCCCAGTGAAAGAAATGGTGCTTTAGTTATGATCTGGCATAAGCTCCTTATCTCACCAGGACCAGCCCTTTGAGGAGCACTGTACCAAACCTCCGTTAAGCTGGTGTGTCGTTTTCAGCATTTTGTGTATGTAGGGATATTTTTCCAAGTGAAATTTGTAGTTGTCATTCAACTCTGATCTTTACAAAAGGATTTCTCTAAGTCAGTTTGTTTGATTTTTGGTGCAGTAGCCAAGTGGTAAGGAGGATTCTTCAAGCACTCTCAAGTTTAGGATAAAATTCTTAACAGCTTTGAGTTCTGTTTGCCTTAAGTTAATCAAACATAAGAAGTCATGTTAATGTTTTTGTAGTCTAGTTCAGAGTAGGTATGGACAGCTGTTAACTAGTAGATTGGCTTTTGGCTTACAGGACAAGAACTAAGAGCTTATAGTTCCATTAATTTTGTGTATAATTACAAATATGTTTCTCGACTTTGGAAACCTGAGGAGTAAGTAGGTTAGTTGCTTCATTCTCTCATTTTGCAGGGGAAGAATCTAAAGCTCAGGCATGGTGTTTGCCTAGGATCGTTCTAATCAATAATTTGTAGAGCCCAGGATATATTGCTTGGTATCCCAGATCAGATTCCGTTACAGGCGTACATTGTTTTATTGTGCTTTGCTTTATTGCATTTTGCAGATACTGCCCCCCCCCTTTTTTTATACAAATGGAAGATTTGTGGCAATCCTGCATAGAGCAAGTTTGTCGGCACTATTTTTCCAACAGTATTTGCTCACTGTGTCACATTTTGGTAATTCTCACAATATTTCACACTTTTTCATTAGTATCTATTATGGTAATAGGTGATCAGTGATTACAACTTACTGAGAGCTTGGATGATGGTTAGCATTTTTTTAGCAATAAAGTACTTAAGGTATGTACATTGTTTTTTAGACATAATGCTGTTGCACACTTAGACTATAGTACATTGTAAACATAACTTTATGCACTGGGAAACCAGAAAATTCATTTGACTCACTTTATTGCAGTGGTCTGGAGCCAGACCTGCAGTATTTCTGAGGTATGCGTGCACTTGTTCTGCCATATGTGGCTTATATTTCAGAGAAGATGGGGACTGGAGTCAGTGCATGCAACTCCTCATCAGCTGAGTCTCCTTCTCCAAGAGCTTTCTTTTAATAGTTACTCTAAGGAGACAAGAACCCCACCCCCCACCCCCTCAGAGTGGACATTCACTCAACCATTGATTTTTCTTTAGTAAACTGTTGAATGAAATGGGATTGTCCTCCTCCATTCTTTGTGGACAGCCTCAGTGCAAAAGAGGGTGATTTGATGGTTCTGTTGGTAGTACGTAGAAATCAGTTCCCTCCTCCTGCAGTGAGCAGTTAACTCAGAGTGACAAATATCATTTGTAATATTGTCTTAAGGACCTATCACCATACTTAGTCATTTTGCTGCTGTATGAAAAAAATCACATAGCAAGTGGTTTTTGTTCTGTTATCTTGTTATTGTTTTAATCACAATCACAAGAATCCCTGAAAGAGCTCACTTTATTCTCTCTGGTCCTGCGTTGGCAGCTAGGATGTCGAGCTTCTCTGTTTGTTTTTGACAGAAGTTTATGGCTCCACATGACTAGAACAAGGGCTTTCTTACTTGGTTCTAATATAGGATGTCCCTATGAATAGAAGCATCTTCCAAGCTTATAAAAACAGAGCTAATACAGCAGCTGCCCTCACATTGACTGATGATTGAGTTCTACTCTGGACTGTGCTGTCATCAGCTTTACCTGGATATGGAGATAATTGGGAAATAGGGTAATTCATATTCCAGGAATATTTTGGGAGTCACCATGAGGAGACTGAAAACATGGATTGGTGGGGAGATGGGGGAAATATAACTCTAAATGTTTTCTATGTATCTCCTGTACACCAACTAGTAACTCAGGGGCTTTAAATTCTAGTTTTGTTTCGGCTTTTTTGAGTAATGAAACAGCATCTTAAATTACTTCAGTGCAATACCATTTTGCATTATAAAATCTCTGGTCTCTATTGGGGGGAGGGAGTTGGGTTTTTTTGTAGTCATTGTTTTGTTTTTGTTTTTACCAAATGAGGCCCAAAGACTCAGTAACTACGTGGAGAAACAGATCTTGATTTTCTTCTTGGGAATAATAGCTCAGCTGTTGTGAGGAAGAAAGATACACTTGAAAGGTAAAGAGTGCCAGGTCTTTTCCGAAGGCCATTAATGCCATTAATTGGGTATACTCCATACCTACCTCAATTCAGCAAGTTGTCATTTGAATTCATATGGAGTGGTGCTTAGGTTAGTTATACTTTTGACACAGGCCGTCTGGCCTTTTCAGTTTTCCTATTCCTTTGTGGAAACAGTTTTTGTTTTTGTTTTTTTTTTAAGATTTTACTTATTTATTAGAGAGAATGAGCAGGGGGGAGAGGCAGAGAGAGGGAGAAGCAGACACCCTGCTGAGTAGGGAGCCCCGACGTGAGGCTTGATCCCAGGACCCTGAGATCATGACCTGAGCCAAAGGCAGATGCTTAACCTACTGAGCCACTCAGGCATCCCAAGGTTTGGCATTTTGAAGGTGGTTTTTCTCTACCTTTTAAAATCTAATCCCTGCTTTTTTATAAATGTAAAAATCTCATGCCTTCCTTTAATGTTCCTAAAGTTGCAAAATAGTTACTTCCTTTCAAATATAATACTAACTTTGCTTTTCCAAACTTTATTAATTTATTCATTTCATAAGAATTTACAGAGCACCTCTACTGTGTGCTAGAAACTGCTAGAGTGAACTCAGACATGTTGTGTGTGCCTTCTCCACGCAGCTTAGTTACTGCTTTAGAGAAGTCCATTATTTATATCCCCTAAATGATTTCTAATGAGGTAAAAAAAGTGGGGGTGGACAACCGTCTCCATTTATAGAATCATAATTTTATTTGGATTAAGGATATTCCTGTTCTTATTCTCCCTTTAAGGATATCTCATTTCTTTTAGTTATTTGGGAATCTGGGAATTAGAGACTCTTCAGATGTAAATTTTTCTTCCAGGTTTTACCAAAGGAACTAATCTTTTTTTTTTTTTTTTTTTAAGATTTTATTTATTTATTTGAGAGAGAGAGAATGAGAGAGAGCACATGAGAGGGGGGAGGGTCAGAGGGAGAAGCAGACTCCCTGCCGGGCAGGGAGCCCGATGTGGGACTTGATCCAGGGACTCCAGGATCATGACCTGAGCCGAAGGCAGTCGCTTAACCAACTGAGCCACCCAGGCGCCCACCAAAGGAACTAATCTTAATCTTAATTCTAGAAGTGCATGGGAATGGGAGAGGCAGAGATTTACTGTAGCTTCTGTTGGCCAGGTTACATTACAGCTGTTTTTTCATTGTGTTATTCTTCCTGAGGATTTCTCTGGCTAAATCTCCAGCCTTTGGGTGCCCAGGACCTAAGTGCACCTAACTCCATTTTGCTCTGCTGCTGGAGAGCTTATGCACCCTGGAAGCAAGAGAAATGGACAGGGTTTTGAAGGCCTAAAGGGTTTGTGATGATAGAATGTAACCAAAGGTAGAACTGAGGAGAGCTGTCCTTCCTCTGAAATGACTTCCTGCAGGATTAGGACCCTGTCCGGAAAGTCACTTGGCTCTCCCTAAATTTACTCTGCATGAGTTAGATACCCAGGCTGCTCTTCGCTCAGCCACGCTCAGGGATGCTCCATATAATCTCTACAGGACCAAAGCAGTCAGGATTGTACCTATTTAGAGTAGTGAGACACACCAGATTCTTAGATTGAAGGAACTATTTGGGGCCTTTCATAGAGAAATAAATGGCTTTGAAAAGTCGTAATCAAAATGTTTCAAAAAAAAGTCTGCTTCAAGTGATAGCCTTTTTGTTTGAGTCTTTGCTAGAGAACAATATCAAAGATACTTTCCCTGCTTAGTTTGCTGTTTTAGCTCCTCAGTATGTTGTCATAGAAATCCAGCTGCCATCAGACATGGTGCTTAGCCCCTTCCAGTCATTTACTGAGTTCCTTTCTCAGGATGCAATTTAAGAAAATTATTGCGACTTGTGTTTAAAGATTGCCAATATTTCAGCTCCTTTCCATAATTATTTATGGAACTAACAGTTTGAGGGTTCTCACCGAGGAGAGGGCAGTGACCTGAAATACGTACTTAAGAGGTGCTCAGGGGCTAGTCAGTTGCTAAAGTTCTTTTCATTGTCTGAGTATGTCAAATAGAACATATCTGACTAGTTTAATTTTAGAAACAGATTCAAGATTTAAGTATATCAAAAATACATTTTGGTTTTTCCCCCATCATTGTTGGTTTCCTAATTGACAAATATCTGCTATTTTCCAAATATTTCTTTAATTTCAAAGTGGAATTCTAAAGTTAATGGGAACAAAATCCAGGTTTGAATGTTATCCCTGGTCTCTCTGGCAACAGTCCTAAAATTGCTTAACTAGGTGGAAAATGGGTGGGGCCTAAGTGCTGTCTCTCATATTCTGGAGAGTGGAGTCTCCAGTTAGAGCAGTGGACCCAGTCAGTGGGCCAGAGATGCAGTCTGTCATCCTGGTGTCAGTCAGATGAGGCAGTCATCTTTTGGTTTGGTTTTTGTTTGTTTGATTTTGTTGTTCTTGTTACTGTTCTGTGTTTTTCCTTTTTTATTGAGTTTTGCTTTATTCCTCACTGCTTTCTGACACCATCTCCCTTTACCACCCTCACACCCCCCGCCCCCAAACTGCCTTTCTTTTGCCCATTTCTGTGCCTTGACTTTCCCATTTTGGTCTCTCTACAGTCTATTCCTTGTTTCTCTGGTGGTTGCAGCTTCTGAGCTAACAGAATGCTTCTGTCATGCTGTGTGTTTAAAGCCTTGATTTTACTGCTGTCATACAAAACTTAACTTGACGTGGCTGTTGGGCTGTTATTTACAGTTTATTTCTCTCTCTGCTGCACTGGTTAAAAGGACACTGTCAAGGTATTTTTTTTTTAATAATTTTTCAAATCATTTTCTTCACTGTTTACAATAACCCATTAAAAGCTTGAAACTTAGATCTTTCCCTTCCAAAGATCCTCTCCATCATACATTCACACTGGTTTGTTGTTGTAGAGTTGCGCCTATATGTTGGGCTGGTGCCATTTGAGTTTTTGTCATTGAAAGCGCATGTAAAAAGGTTTTTGTGGGGGGGGGGGTGGGTGGACTGAAGGGGAAAGTGTTATGAATCAAGTGGGCTGCTCAGCAAACAGAGGGAAGAAACAAAAGGTCAAATTTGGTCCCTCTAACCTTGACAGTGTCCCTTTAAATGTTTCTCTACCACACACCCTGGACCCCAGTTACTGAGCCTGAGTGCTGCGTACTTTTTCAGTATGAACTTCCCTATGTGACTGTCACCCTAGCTATAGAGATTAAAGCTTGTCTGAAGCAAGCCATCCAGTTGACACTGGAAGAGCTTTAATCTGTACCATTTGCACACTGTGTATTGGCACATTCTGCCCTATTGCAGAGCACATGTGATCTGGTCCCTCTTGCTTCTATAGCATCCTCTTGCTAGGCATTTTTGAAGTCACACATAGAAATATCACTATTTTGTATTCCAGGAAAAGCAGTCATGCACATGGCATCTGGGATCAGTTAAGGTCTCATAACTATATAGATTTTGTGTTAAAAATGCAATTGTTTCCTTTTTTAAAGAAACACCGAATTTAGAGTTTCTAGAACCATCTTTGGTAACATCATTGCAGGAATCACACTGAGCAAAATTTCAGCATTGCTTTGAGCTGCTCTGTATGTGACCCATCACATCACTGAGGAAAAGCAGCTGACGAGAAAGTAAATGAACTTCCTGACCAAAAGGGTCTCATCCATCAGCTCTGATAGCTGTGTAATCAGAACAAGTAGGGATGTCACCCAAGAGCTCCTTCCTTTGGCCATGGAGTTGAATGGGTAGGCCAGATGTGTTTGAGCCACCATGTCTTAGGTACCACTCATATATAAAGGGCACCAAACATCCAAAGTCTGATTCTCTGCCTTATTTCTCAACATAAACCAGAAGATTCTCAGGGATTTATATTTCTTAGGCCAAGGGGGATTCTCTAATTCATAAAGATTTCCTGATTGCTCCCATCTTTGGCCTTTTAGAATTTGATGCTTTAGAATATGATTCTGATTGGGTCCGTTATGGTGTCATATTTACAGTTCCAAAAGAGAGGTGCAGTCCTTTTCCCTTTCTTTTTTGGGTGCAGATTGTACTTCTTGCCATATTCTTTTGCCACACCGTGGCTCATCTTATAGAGTTACTTGTGCAACTCCTCAGTGAAGGGAAAGAGACTAGTGCCTTAAAAATTGTCTCTTTAATTGGAAAGGGCTAAAACTAAGGCATTTCAAATGAGAGGTAGAATCATTTCAAATGATCTCATCCACAAGTTACCCCTGCACTCCTCCTTGGCCTTAATGTTTATTAGAACTTTCTTTAATGCTGTCTTCTTATTACCAATTTTAGGTTGGCTGTAAAGTAAAATTCCGTATTTTGAATCCCACTTCCCAGTTGATGCCCAGTTTATTCTGGCAAGAGATGCTTGCTTTAGACATGCTTGCCTTAGATACGCTTTTTCCTTCTTGCTACTACCGTGAATTCAGTAAAATTGCAGATGCAGTTTGCTTTAGGACTGAATTAAGCGGTAGCAGAGGGATTTGGGTCGACTAACTGATGATATCAACAGGCAGGGGCACAGCAGGGATTAGGAATGTGGTCTTGCAGCTTGATGATCTGCTTTGCAGTCTGCTCTCTTCCTGCACAGTAGTGAGCCAGACCTGGTACCTCAGTCACTCATAGTCTAAGAGCTTTGGATATTCAACTCTGAACTTAATTGGTGCCATAAAACACTGTTACTCTGCAAAAGAATGAAGGTGCTATTGTGTTCTCATTAATAGTCGTGAATTTCACTTCTCTCTTCCCTACTCCCACCTGAAATTCATCTTTGAGGGAAAGACAATACCTTGGGCTTCTTATTTTTCCATCCTGCCCTTATTCTGGAGGGTCCTCAGGTGTGTTGACATAGTTTTTGTTCTCTGAGACTTCTCCAGTGTGTCATTTGCATGTCGGCCCAGCTTCTTTCAGTGCATGTCAGCTCCAGGACACCTTGTGCTCCACGTAACTTCAGTTAGCACCAGTTAGCACCCAGTGTGAATCCTATGGCTGTTAATAGAGGTGGAGTCCCAGCTCGGAGGGCAAAATTGGGAGAATAGAAAATATTAGGGCCAAACATTTCATACCTCATTTAATGGAATTGACCACTTCATAGAAAAGAAAGTTGGAATCATTGTCCTCAAAGTTCCCCCTTTGAGGTACATATTTTGACCTTTTAAACTGTAGAGCATTTGTGTTTTCATGGATGGTTACGTTTAGTCTTATAAGGACCAACTCTGCTATACTTCGAATTTTCAGGTTCCTAAAGAGAAAGATGAAATGGTAGAGCAAGAGTTTAACCGGTTGCTAGAAGCTACGTCTTACCTTAGTCATCAGCTAGACTTCAATGTCCTCAATAATAAGCCTGTGTCCCTTGGCCAGGCATTGGAAGTTGTCATTCAGTAAGTACTTTGATACTGCTTGTTGTATAGTGAATTCCATTTAGAGATTTGCTATTTATGCTTTAAGGTTTTTAGCAAGTCTTATTTGAGCTAGTTTTCACTTACTTTCGTGTGAATTTAAATCTCAAAACCATTTAAAAAAGAATGATCCTTAAGGCCCCTCTCAATTCTAAAATTCACAGCTTTTATGGTACTGAACTATATTATTTAACATAGCCTAGAAAATAATTTGCCACCCACCAACTTTCTTGTTCCAAAGTTTTAGAAATTTCAGTGGGCTTTGATGTCCTTGAATGTTTTTGATGGGTTCCTATCTTGGGCTGCAAAGCTGGCTTTGTGGCCAAGGCATATGTATTGTCTCTTTTAGGTTGCAAGAAAAGCATGTCAAAGATGAGCAAATTGAACATTGGAAGAAGATAGTGAAGACTCAGGAGGAGTTGAAAGAACTTCTTAATAAGGTAAAATTTTATATTTTCTTCAAAGCTGAAGATGCATTGGGGGTGGGGGGCATGGCTTTAGAAATTCTCAGTTTCGTTTTTTTTCTTCTGGGGGAGAGAAGGTCCGCGCAGCTGGGACTCATTATTCTTAAAAAATAATAATAATAATAGTGACTAACAAAAGGCACGGTTTTTATCTGTCAGTCTTTCAGTATGGTATTATTGGCAAATTATTGCCAGGGGAAATAGATCTTTTTCTGTGTCAGGTTCCCTTTGGCAAAGCTAGCCCAGTGCCGTCTGCTGGATTCTGTGATGAGAGGGAGATCAGTTGCGCTGGGGTCAAATCCCACTGATGGGGACAACAGGTCTGCAGCCAGGACCATAATTCATTGCCATAATTATTTCACTTGAGGTGCCAGTTATGGGGCTAGTCCTCAGTGGTATGTCTGCTGAGGGCTCTTCTTTCCCACCACTTCGCAGAGGCCTGGTTCCAGTCTGGGAAACCATTTGTTTTCTCTTCATCCTACCAGCTGCAAACGTATTATCAGCTTAGGGAGAAAACATGAAGCGGGACAGCTCCTGTGGGGAGCTTTTTGATGCAAAATCTGGGTGTATCTTGTGACCAGACTCTTGCCTCACTCTCTCACTGTGCCTTGTTTTTTCATCTTGTCAAATGAGAAGAGGTCTGTGCCCACCTTCTTCATGGATTGTGTGTGGCATGTGTGAAATGAGCAGAGAGGCTGGAGAACAGCCAGTTGGCAGGATAGCTGTGAGACCCAGTACCATCAGAAAGCTGAGAGACTAACATTAGGAATGGCTCTGGAAGGTTCTGTGTGGTGATTTAGCCTTTACATAATTTAGAAAACAAATCATAATAATTTGTTCCCCAAAACAATAAGTTTAAGTGGTGCTTTGTTTTTCCTGGAATTTGATTTTTGTATGTGTATATATATATATACACATATGTTTTTAAATTAATGGAACACTCCTCGTTCTCCATTTGTTTTGGAAGACAGAAATGATCTTACTTCTCTGATAATGATGTGATACCTCTGTGTTGAACCATACAGGATTTTTTTTCCTATTCTAAAATGTCATCATATAGAAGAGATATTTAAGAGTTTCAGGAACCTTGCATTGTAACCTGTTTTGGTACACTAGCAGTTTAGGGGAGGAACTGAAGCATGTGATTTGGAGATGGATTACATCACTATCTGAAATGGTAAATTTGTATTTTTCCCTCTTAGATGGTAAATTTGAAAGAGAAAATTAAAGAACTCCATCAGCAATACAAAGAAGCATCTGAGGTCAAGCCACCCAGAGATATCACTGCCGAGTTCTTAGTGAAAAGCAAACACAGGGATCTGACTGCCCTGTGCAAGGTATGGTATACATACATGCCTAGGTGGTTTCCCTTGGGATCCTAAGAAAGAATATAGATCTGGGAAACTTTGGAAAAGGGAGAATCACTAACCAATCACAGGTGCCTGTGGTAAGAAGAAGAGGGTTTGGTACACAGGAACCAAGGGGACTGAATGGATTAGTTTAGTTTGAGATCTGCTTTTTCTGCAGAATTCCTACTTTGTTTTCAGTCTTATACTTTAACTTACTTACATTTTAGTTTAGCTCCCTGTCATAGTTTACTGCTGTCAGTTTAGAATAATGATAACATAGACTTCAGTCATTTGGTATCAAACTGTCTGGTTGAAATCCCTAACTTAGTTATCTCTTAGCCATGGGATCTTAGATTCCTTAATCACCTCATCTGTGACACAGTGTTAATACTTCTTTGTAAGGGATCTTAAGTGCTTTATCCCATGCTAGGGACATGGTAAATGCACAGGAAGTGGTACTTGCTATTCTTTTTCACTCTTACTTGTAGCATACTAGTATGCTCTTCTTCCTTTATCTCCTCCTGCTGCATGCCCGCTCCCTCCTCCACACCCCATCTTCATTCTGGGCTCACACTGTAACTTGTCTCCAAGAACAACCATCCCTGAGCCCTGATCCAGCCTTAGCCTGAGGCATACTCACAGATACGACCTGGATAGGCAGGTGGTCCAGGTCTTACACTTTGTGGTATAAATAACTAGGTTGGTCTCTGACTCATTAAGATCAACCCAGTTCTCTTCATTTTATCAGGAATATGATGAATTAACTGAAACACAAGGAAAGTTAGAAGAAAAACTTCAAGAATTGGAAGCCAATCCCCCAAGGTGAGGAAAACACACAAATGTTCAGAGGGATAGCTTTTGCTGTTCTTTGTTATATTTAGAAGGAAAATTACAAAGCACTGTGGGTTTTATTTATGTCCAGTGAATGGATTATAATTTTAATGTGTAGGAGTGTCCAAAATATTTAAATATATTTGTTTTTGAAAAGATAACCTTTCTCTATAAGATCTGATATTTGAATGAAATATACTGTTTTCCTGTGAGTGGAATAGAATGTGGTATTGCTTTAAATTCCCATAATTCTGAGGACTAGGAAAGTATTATACTTTGTTTCCATTGGATTTTTGATAGTGAATACTGTGCTTCATGGTGTATCTGGCCTCCAGTATATCTACTCTGTTCTGGAGTTGGGGATGCTACCCATTCTTGCTTTAAAAAAAAAAATCATTATTTATAAAACAAAAACGCTTTTATAATGCCAGGTACCGATAATTTTTTTTTTTTTAAGATTTTTATTTATTTGACAGAATGGGAGAGGAGAGCACAAGCAGGGGGAGAGGGAGAAGGAGAAGCAGACTCTCCACTGAGCAGGGAGCCCAGTGTGGGGCTCCATCCCAGGACCCTGGGATCAGGACCTGAGCTGAAGGCAGACACTTAACCGACTGAGCCACCCAGGCGCCCTGTCTCCCCACCCCTGCCAAGACAAATGAAGCCTGATAGTAATTTGTTTTATGTAGTGAGCTTGGCACTGCTCTCAGCACCAGTAATAAAGGAGTTAAGACAGATAAGGTCCTATTTTTTGACTTATAATTTCTTTATATAAGGCACAGTACCAGGCTTAGGTTTCCTCAGTTACTGAGATTGTCCCCATCAGCCCACTGAGAATAGTAGTCCTTTAAATAACCTGCGCTCCTCTGTTTTCATTTTGCAGTGACGTGTATCTCTCATCAAGAGACAGACAAATACTTGATTGGCATTTTGCAAATCTTGAATTTGCTAATGCCACACCTCTCTCTACACTCTCCCTTAAACATTGGGATCAGGTAAAATTCCTTTATCATTTATTTTGTTGCACACATCTTTGAAAGGGCTCTTAGGAGAAACTTAATTTGTATGTGTGTGTTTAAACAGCTTTGTTAAGAAATAGAATTTACATTACAGTACAATTTACCTATTTTAAGCAAACAGTTTGAAGTTTTGCCAAAGGTACATAGTCATGAATCACCACCACAATGAAGATAAAGAACATTTCCACCCTGGAAAGTTCTCCCTTGCCTCTTTGTAGTCAGTCCCAGCCCTCCCACTCCTGGCCCAAGACAACCCCTGATTTTCCTGTCTGTCACTGTAGTTTTGCTTTTCTAGAATTACATATAAATTGAACAAATACGGTATATAATCATACAGAATGTAGCTTTTTTTTTTTTAATATTTTATTTATTTATTTGACAGATAACAAGAGCAGGAACACAAGTAGGGGGAGTGGGAGAGGGAGAAGCAGGCTTCCTGCTGAGCAGGGAGTCCGATGTGGGGCTCGATCCCAGGACCCCAGGATCATGACATGAGCTGAAGGCAGACGCTTAACGACTGAGCCACCCAGGCGCCAGCCTTTTGTGTGCAATTTCTTTCACTTAGCAAAGTTGTTGAGATTCATTTTTGTTGTTGAGATATCAGTGGTTTGTTCCTTTTCGTTGTTTAGTAGTAGTCTGTTGTATGGATGTGCCATAGATTGTTTATCCATACGCTGGTACATTGGTGGACATTTGGATTGTTTCCAGTTTTTTTTTGGCTATAAATGACTGGAGCTGCTATGAACATTCACATCTTTCTTTTGGGTATATTTAGGAGTGAAATTGCTGGGTCTTACATAGATCTTTAACTTTATAAGAAACTCCAAATTATTCTAAATTGCATTCCCACCAGCAGTGTATGAAAGTTCTAGTTGTTTCACATCCTCACCAACACTTGGTACTGCCAGTTTTTAAAAATTTAGCCATTCTAATGGGTGTATGGTACATTTCATTGTAGTGGTAATTTGCATTTCCTGAATGATGGGTGGTGTGAAGCACCTTTTCGTGTACTTATTGGTCATTTGTATGTCAGTTCTTGGGTGAAAAGTCTGTTCTGATCTTTTGCCCATTATTTTAAAATCTGGTTGATCTCTTACTAAATTGTGTAAGAGTTCATTATGTTCTGTTCTTTAGATCCTGGATACAATTCCTTTGTCAGTATTTATACAATTCCTTTGTAAATATTTTCCTCCAGTCCACAGCTTCCTTTTTCATTTTCTAAATGGTATCTTTCAAAGAACAAAACTTTTTAATTTTATGAAGTTCCTATTTCCTCAACTCTCTATAATCTTTGTGCTTTTTGTATCCTGAAAAATCTTTGTCTAAACTTAGATAACTAAATTTTCTCTTGTTTTCTTCCTGAAGTTTTATGGACTTATTAGCTCTAATGTTAGGTCTATGATTCATTTTAAATTAATTTTCATGTACAATGAGAGATGAGGGTAGGGTTCATATTTTTCCATATGGTTATCTAATTAATTATTCTGGCACCATCCTTTTTCTTCATTTGTCTTGGCACCTTTTTTGAAAATCAGTTGACCATGTGTGAGACTGTGGTTACTCCTTCCTATTCATTCATTTGTCCACATGCCCCTATCATATTGTCTTGATTACTGTTGCTTTATGGTACATCTTGAAATTAGGAGAGTGTAAGTTCTTCAACTTTTTTTTAAATCATTTTGGCTACTTTAGGTCTTCTGTATTTCCATAAAAATTTTAGAATCAGCTTGTCAATTTCTATTAAAAAAAATACCTTCTGGGATTTTGATTGGTACTGGGATTTGAACATGGTATCTTTCTCCATTTATTTAGGTTTTCTTTAATATTTTTCAGCCATATTTTACAGTTTTCAATGTACAGGTTTTACCCATCTTTTGTCAAATTATTCTTATGTATTTTAAATGTGAGTTACTCTTGAACTGGTGAGAAATCACAGGGCTTCTTAGATATTAAAGATCAATCTCTAAATCTGAGACTTTGGCCAGACCTAAGACTACAGAAGTAAATGTTACATTTTTACTTACATATTTTCATTTCCATTGTACATTTTCCTTGTAAAATTAGTTTGAAAAAAAATTTTTTTTTAAGATTTTATTTATTTGACAGAGAGAGACCCAGCGAGAGAGGGAACACAAGCAGGGGGAGTGGGAGAGGGAGAAGCAGGCTTCCCGTGGAGCAGGGAGCCCGATGTAGGGCTCGATCCCAGGACCCTGAGATCATGACCTGAGACAAAGGCAGATGCTTAACAACTGAGCCACCCAGGCGCCCCTAGTTTGCATTCTTAATCTTTAGGTTATACCTTCATATTCTTTAGTGTTTGACTTAGAGGATTGGACCTGTTAGTGGTAAAAATCTTAGAGAATTCCCAGTTGTTTTTGTTGTTGTTTTTCCCCCTGTAATACTAAATTAGACCCTTCCTCATCACTGATTTATCATTTGAAGTTTCAATATGTATCCATTCGTAATCTTACTAAATTCTGAATGTGGGTGATTTGAACTGATCGGTATGGGGAGCAGATGAATCAGTCACTAAGTAGTGAGAGTTCTGCCAACCCAGTATTTTTATGTAATTCAAAAGAATCATGCTGTGTTTTCTCCCAGAAATTTCATGAAATTAGAAAATTGACTAGCCTTCAAAAATTTCTCTACACAGAAAAGTTTTCAGTAGATTCAAAGAAATAAGATCATTTTGGGAATCCTTCCAGGCCAAATGCTGACTTCTTTACTATATGGATCCTCTTAGGCCAGTCTTTATAATCCCAGATTGTTTTTATCTAGTTTGACCAACTTTAGTTTTGGAAGTCTTCCTCATCTTTCAAGCCTGTAAGTTTAAGAAATAAAAACTGATTTTGTTCTTAGGTAAAGAAGATGTGATTAGGATGGTGAATCTGATATTCTACCAAATCTGTAATGCATTCAAAAGCCAAACATACATCTGAATTTATTGAATCCTCTTTCTTCGAGAGATCCCATCCCCCACCCTCTTGGATAGTCTGGACTGAGAGGTTGGGTGTTGGACTATGAGGAGAAAACTCAATCTAGGGAAGAAGAAACTGCCCTAATCTCACTGCCCAGAGGTGGCCATTAGGGACATTTAAGCATTTTTTCTTTTTTCTCTAGTTTCCTGGGATAGCTGTAACTGAATACTGAGTGCTGGTTTTTTAATTTCTGCCTTAGCATATTGACTGTTTTCCACAAACTGTTGTTTTTCAGTCTTAATCTTACAGAACTCAGGATGTATGGCATTAAGTTAAGAAAATGGATGGACTTTTCTCTCCTCTTTAGGATGACGACTTTGAGTTTACTGGCAGCCACCTGACAGTGAGGAATGGCTACTCCTGTGTACCTGTGGCTTTAGCGGAAGGCCTGGACATTAAATTGAACACAGCGGTGCGGCAGGTTCGCTACACGGCTTCGGGTACGTCCCTGCTTCACTGGGGCGATAAGTCTCTTACTCTGAAACACGGTACTGATCTTTTGTTGAGTTTGACCTACAGAAAAAAATGTTAGGTACATTTCCTGTTGAAATGTCATATCATATAAACTATGAACCCTAATTTTAAAAATCTGCATTGACAAAAGGATTGAGCCTCTAGAGCCTTTGGGCATTCTAATCCATCATTGCGTAAACCGGAAAATTGAGGCAAGTTTCCAATTTGTACTTGAGTTACTTTGTTAACAACTGCCAGTGAGTTTGGACCTAATTTTTGCTGAGTGGTTTTTTTTTTTTTTAAGATTCATTTATTTGAGAGAGAGAAAGCGAGAGTGAGTGAGCATGAGCCGGGGCAGGGGGAGAAGAGAGGAAGAAGCAGACTCCTTGCTGAGCAGGGAGCCCTACATGGGGCTCGATCCCAGGACCCCAGGATCATGACCTGAGCCGAAGGAGCAGTTGCTTAACCGACTGAGCCACCCAGGCGCCCGACTGAGTATATTCTTAAAAGACCAGGATTTTGGCCTCTGGGCACAGTGGGACCCACTCCTTGTATTTTACTATCTGTGTCTTGCTCTTTGGATCCATTCTAGCCTTTCCTGTTCAGGTGGGCTAACTGCTCAATCTGGTTTCTGATACTGGGAGCAGTATCAGACTTCAAAGATGGAATTGCCCTGATTCCCACAGGCAGAAGGCTCAGTGCTCACTGTTGCTGGTTTCAGGGCACACTTAATGTAGAGTACAGAGAACCCGCTGTCCACCCACCTTTGGAATTAATAGTCTAGAACTCTTGATGATAGCTAGTCCCCCCCGCCCCTCCCCCCAGGGCCCTCATGACAAGTGGAGATATGGCAATCAACCTTGCTTGCCCTTCATGGCTGCTTTTCTAGAACTGCCGAGATTACTGCAGATATTCTTTTTTTACAACCCCTAAAACCGTTTTCCATTTGATTTCCCCTTCATTTGCAGCTTCTAGTTGATGTTGAGACCTGTGGCTTTTAAATAGCCATTTGCAGGCAGGTGAAGAAAGTGAGAAAGTGGACATGAACTGAGTTCTCATACCAATTTTGAGCTGTTTATGTATTTTCTGAAATTCTATAAATAGGTACTTATTGAAGGAAAAAAACACAAATGAGGAAGAATAACAGTAACCTCTTTTCAGTGCCTATTCTGTGGTCCACTCTGAGCTTTATTCAGACTCTGGCAAACTAGGCGTCACAGTTCCTTCTCCAGAACAGCACGCTCTGCACCCTAGTGGCATCCCATAGATCCGCACCATGGTCTCCTGGGGTCGTTCCTCTCCTGGTCCTTAGTAAGCACCTAACCACCATGGAGAGGCACTGCTTTCGTTGTTACAGACCTTTATTCTTCACTTTGGTCTAAATTTACTTAACCCTTGGTAAATAATAAGGCTCTTGGATTAGCCCAGAAGATCACCACTGTATCAGGAAGGTAAGACAAGTACACGGTGAAGAGCCCGGACTCTGAAGTGGACTATTAGCATTTGAATCCTGGCAGTTAGGACCCATGCGGCCTTGTCTGAAGTTACTTCGCCGCCACGTTGGTTTTCTTCTATTAAAAAGTGAAGAGAACAGACTCCATACACTTAGGGTAAGAATTAACTGAGATAGTGTGTAGATTCTACCATGCAGTGAATGTTCAGTACCATCCTTATCGCCAGTAAGGTCTTTTCCCTCTGACATCTCTAGGATGTGAGGTGATCGCTGTGAATACCCGCTCCACAAGCCAGACCTTTATTTATAAGTGTGATGCAGTTCTCTGTACCCTCCCCTTGGGTGTGCTGAAGCAGCAGCCCCCAGCTGTTCAGTTCGTGCCGCCTCTTCCTGAGTGGAAAACATCTGCAGTCCAAAGGATGGGATTTGGCAACCTTAACAAGGTAACTTGCCCTGGGCCTCTCTCTACATACCTGTTGTGCAGTCAGAGAAGATAGGGGTTTATATTTTTGTGTATTTTGCTATGCTCTCAGCTCTGTGAGATCAGGGTGAGAGGCCTGTCAGTTCATTCATTTCAGTGCCTAATTATATGTATATGAGGACCAAGTCTTCTGGGACCTAAGCCCAGAAAAACACAGATAACTCTAAATGTTGTTTTAAGGAATACATTCATGCTAGGGATTTCTAGGCTCATACTGAGAGGAGATCAGAAGAAACTTCAGTAAGGTCTGAGAAGTCTTTCCTGTTGAGTGAGGCACAGCTGTGCTTAAAGCCGTGTTCTCCGAGCCCTGCCATCAGTTCCTGGGCTCCTTTTTTCTTTTTTAACCACAGGTAGTACTGTGTTTTGACCGTGTGTTCTGGGATCCAAGTGTCAATTTGTTTGGGCATGTTGGCAGTACGACGGCCAGCAGGGGTGAGCTCTTCCTCTTCTGGAACCTCTATAAAGGTAACTGCTTCCTGGTTTTAATCTTTTTCATATCCTTACAGGAATAGAGAATTAGGGATATTCTGGGTTTTCTCAAATATGTATGTCTTGATTTTTCATTAATTCAACCAACAATTCCAGAAATTCCTGGTAGGTGCTGGGGATATTGGAAAAAAAATACCCGCCGTCAAGGAGTTCATATCCTAGTGGGAAATACATTAAGTAGGTGAGCTCTCTAGGAACAGGGCCATAAGTAGAGGGTCAGAGTGAAAGCCCAGGGCGCTGCAAAAGAGAACATAAAAAGAAGAATCAACCCAGGCAGGAGGCACAGAACCAGGGAAGCTTCCCATAGGGGGAAACTTGTATTCCTTATTCTCAGACTTCTGTATCTGACCGGCCCCTGAATCTTTGATCACGTCCTTCAGAATGTATCGAACTCCTACCTCCTATTTTAATTTCTTCTGTAATTGGATTGCTCTTCTCTGTGGTGCTTAAAATGTTTATGTAGTGTGTGTGTGTGTGTGTGTGTGTGTAAATCTCATGTCTTCTACTTCAGGGCCTCTGCATGTACTGTGTGGTCTGGGTCTGGGGAGTTTTTTTTCTTCTCTTCCTTCCCAGTATGGCATACTCTGCTCAGCCTTTCTGGTCTTGACCTAACTGCCACTGTTGAAAAGCGGCTTTTAGGACACACATACTTCCACTGCCTCAAATCTAAATTAAGTCCCTGTATTCTCTCCTCTGTATCCTTTGTTTTTCTTCATTGCTTTATCAGTTCATAATTACAGCTACGTGATACTTACCTACTGACCCATGGAGTTACATAGTCTAGTATATAGCTTTTATATCGCAGCAGCTCATACTGTGCCTGTTACACAAGTGTCTTTCCTAATAGTCACCAAATGGGTGAGTGAAGGTGGTGATGGGCTTGGAGGGACCTGGAAGAGTTAAAAGGATATAGCTCTTGGAGCTCATGGAGCAGACTGTCTAAGGTGGTCAGGGCTAAGGATCCTCTGCCTAAACATAGGCATGCCTGTTGGTTTTCTTAGCAAGGTCTGAAGTTACTTCATCTTCAGGCCTTCTGTATGCTGCAGAATTGTAAGGGCTAAGTACCTGAGTCACACGTTACTGACGAGAGTTTGCCAGCTGCCTTCTAAGAGACAGATCTGGAGTTGCAGTTTCAGAAACGTAACGTCTCTAGCGCAAGTGCTGCATGTCTGTCTGTTGGTCATCAGATTTCAGAGTGCCCCGAATAATGTGGGGCCTGATAAAGAAGTTCTTGAGAGAAGTCTGTACGAGAACCCTGGACTGTTCTTCCTGTTTCTCCAGCCCCAATACTGTTGGCACTAGTGGCAGGGGAAGCTGCCGGCATCATGGAAAACATAAGTGATGATGTGATTGTCGGCCGATGCCTGGCCATCCTCAAAGGGATTTTTGGCAGCAGTGCGGTGCCCCAGGTAAGTAAGTGGGAGGGGCAGGTGGGGGTCAAGGTTCACCCTAGGGCAGGGTTTGACACAGTCGCGTTACATTGGGCAGCACAGCTTCAGCCAGAATTAAGAGGTGTGCTGGGTTTCCATGAAAGCCAGTGTTTGGAGTCTGTGTGTAAGTGTGGGATTCAGGAAAGGCCCCCCCCGCCCAGCACACAGGCTGGGGGATTGAGAAGGCTATTTGCTGCATATCCCTGCTGGTCTCATCCATCGTATCTGCGTTGCAGAGTCCTCCCACTCCTGCCTTTTAGACAAAGTGGTCAGACTCCCTCATAGAAGAATCACTTGGTACTTTGTTCTTTAGGCCCACTGAAAGAAACCCCGTAGATCCTTATGATTCCTTTGAAAGAAGGTATATTAATGCTTCATGTGAATTAATGAGAGAATAAAGGTTAAGTCCTGCGTGGATCTATAGATTTCCTAGGCAGGGCAATGTGGAAGCTTCCCTGGAAGCCATTTGTTGTGTGTTTTAAAGCAGAAGCATTCATCACTTGACTAACTCATGTCTCTTGCCTCTTTACTGCTCTGTTGTATCCCCACCCACCACAGCTTTTCTACCTTTCAGAGGACTGGTTTGTCCTCTGCCCTATAGTAACTTCTGCTCATGCTTTTTCCTTTAGCCCAAGGAGACTGTGGTATCTCGCTGGCGTGCTGATCCCTGGGCCCGGGGCTCCTATTCATATGTAGCTGCAGGATCATCTGGAAATGACTATGATTTAATGGCTCAGCCAATCACTCCTGGCCCCTCAATTCCAGGTGCTCCACAGGTGAGAAACTGGCAAACTACCTGGGCTTATTTGGGAAAAGGCCATATCCCAGGCTTTCGGGGTAAACACCACGCCACAGTTTTGGGTTTGTTTTGTTTTGTTTTGTTTGCCGGGGGCTGGTGGTTAGATTTTAGTTGTTCTGTCCTTGGACCCTTCCAGATAACCAAGAGCAGAGTAAAAGGGAGGAACAGTATTATTTGTATCTGATTTCTCGGATTCTGGTTCTGTAAATCTAGGCAGTCCATATTCAGAATGGTAAACCAACTACTTTTTCCTTATTCAAACTTTTTCCCCTAAAAAACGAAAAACATTTTTAGTTGCACCCCATTTTGTAATGGTTCATGGGATGTCAGTCACTAGGGGTCTCCAGGACATGCCCGTCCTTATCTAGATGATGCCAGACCCTCCTCCAGAGCTTAGGACCCTGTGAACCGGCTCTGGAGCTGAGAAGCAAAGGTGTTCCTAAGTAAGAACAAATGCTGGATTCTTTGTGGTACAGAGTAGTCAGGAACCCCTCTGCCCCAGGAGGTACTATAGGAGGTAAAGGAAGCCCTAGAACCAGTTATCCCCCAGCATTCAATGATAAATAAGAACAGATGCAGTTATGCATCACCCTAGGACTAAGGCTGGCTTGGCTGAGTTTTATTGTCGCATTTCTACTTTGGTCATTTCTGGGAGAATGCCCACTGATGAGGGAGATCCTTTTTGGTAGAATGATGGTCTGTGATCAGCAGGGCAGCCTTCAAAGGCCAATAAGAATTTGGCAGTTCAGACACAACAAAAATAAAAGTTACTATGTGCAACCTGCTGATTCTTCTCTCAATTTTTTCCCCCTGAAATAGCCAATTCCACGACTCTTCTTTGCTGGAGAACATACAATCCGTAACTACCCAGCCACTGTCCATGGCGCTCTGCTGAGTGGGCTGCGAGAAGCAGGAAGGATTGCAGACCAGTTCCTGGGGGCCATGTACACCCTGCCTCGCCAGGCCACACCAGGCGTCCCTGCACAGCAGTCCCCAAGCATGTGAGACTGATGGGCTCTGAGGGAAGCAATGTGCAAGTCTTTTGCTGTGTAAGCAGAGCTTTTATAGCAATACTGGATTTCACTGAGAAACTCACTCTGGCATCTGGGCTCCAATCAGCTGTTGGAACTCATGCTGCCAGGTGTGGCCTCCTTTGAGGGACTTAGCGCTAGAGAGGCAGTTGTCCGTTAGTGCGGAAGTCGGTGTTCTTCCTAAAGACTGAGGTAAGCAAGCCTCGTGAGAGGACATCTTAGTCTCTTGGTGTGTGGTTTTTTATATTTTAAAAATAAAGCTTCATATAAAATTCTTTTTTGTTGTTTCCCCTTTAGATTTATATTAACAGGTTGCTGTGCCTTTGGAAATGCCAGTTTTATCCATGTTTAAATAAGGATGATGTTTATATAAAGGCAAAAAGCGGTTTGGTCTGAAGATAGGGTTGAGGGGAACTCCACAGAAGCAATGGGCTGCCTGATCGGTGGGACTAGAGCGTTCCCCATTGGGACTGTGGGGTGACTGTATGCCAAGAGGGTGAAGCTACAGGTCAAGCATATGGATATTAGAGGTGACTTGGAATTTTTAAGATAAAACAAGGCAGAGTTTGGGTGGGTCTCCGGCAGACCATTCAGGCTTTACTCCCCAGGTTCCCTCCATGGGTATGTGCTAACTTTCCACTTTTGTCCAACTCGTGGTATAAAAGTTTTAGGAAGTGTTACATAAGGAGATGCTCAAGGGTTTAGTGACTTAGCTGTTGTTACTTTTTTATTGCTGCTAACAGATTACCGCAGCAGGCTCTTCCTTGCCTTTTTAGCTTCTAGTGGCTGTATTTCTTGGCTCGTGGCCCCTTCCTCCACCTTCAGAGCTCATTACTCCAATCTCTGCTTTTCTTGTTCTGTAGTCCTGTCTCCCTCATACAAGGATACTTGTGATTTCATTTAAGGCCCACCCAGATCATCTCCCCATTTCAAAATCCTTACTCATGTCTGCGAAGTCCCTTTTGCCATATAAGGTAAAAACATTTTTACAAGAAGGGAACAGTAACTGTTCCTTCTCAAGGGCTCCTAACAGACAATGTTACTACAAATGCACGTACATAATCTGTTTGCTTTTACTTGTGTGAGTCAATTCTTCCCTATAATGAGCCTAAATGAGGTTTATTCTTAGTAAGATTTGAGGGACATTAAATCGGTGGGCTAACGATATGATGGAGGTGGAGAGGGCTTTCCCCTAGGCTTCGAGTAACAGCGATGGGGCACATCTGCACACCAGGAGTGAGGGGTATAAAGGTAAGAACAGCATGCGGTGGGAAGCATACGGACTTTGGACTGTGACCTGTATTTGAATCGCAGTTCTGCCATTCACACGGTTACCTCAGGTGGGTGATGCGGTGTTAGGTGGTTTTTCTAAGTAAACGGCATAGGCACATTGAGACCGATCACTTTCCATGTGTGACAACAGACCAGCCTAAAACTAGGAATCCTAGCAGCTGTTTCATTGCTGCATTTAAGTCATGTGGGTGCTAGGCGTGTCCTCTTCCAAGCCCCAGCATGTTTCCAGTCCTTACAGCATCACTAAGTAGTTGGTTCTTTGACATAAGACCCAGTGAGATGCACGAGCTGTCTCAGATGACAACAAAAATATGGCATCAGTGACTCACACACAGCGCACGTGGAAACTAGGGAGCTTTATTGGTTACATATCGTGCTGCAGAGCCGACAGACAGCATTCGAGCCAGAGGATACATGCAGACAGGCAGCTTCCACTACACACATGCACCCAAGGAGCCCCAAGTCACTGCTCGTGGCTTCGCCCTGGTTTCCAGCAACAGGGTCCGGCCTCCTTGGTCCCATGCTTGGAGCAGGACTGTAGAAGCTGCTGCACCTAGACTCCAAGGGGCAGGGGTGAGACCAGAGCACCTGCGTGAACGAGCAGAGGTGGACTGACCGAGACCGAGGCCCCCCAGCAAAGGGGCCTCTGATGCATTAACAGTTTTTTGAGGGCTACTTCCCCAGCCCTCCCAATCTTTAAAATACAAAAAAATAGACTTTATTCTCTTAAAAATACATTCCATTCAGTACATGTTCTGAGCTGTGAAGCAGCAGGAAAATAGGGCCCCTTTCCTATGATCTTGGGTGTGAGGCTTTGAGGAGAACCCTGTGCCCCACCCGGGGTAGTCAAAAGATAATCCCTAAAAGCAGCTCTTCCCAAAGCAGTCTTGTCAGAGTAACAACAAACCCCGCCTCAACAGATACGACTAGGGACCCAGCGGCTGGGTCCCCGTTCCTTTACTGGGAAGGGGTAGCACTTGGCACGAACCCACTACACGTAAAGCACTAAAACTGCCCCAGAATGCCAGGTCCAAGCTCGAGAGAGACCCTCCCCACACCCACTGAGGGGGGAGGATGAGTGTGCTTGCCTGTGATGGAGGCTGGAGTCCTGGGCCCCACTGCAGGTCCCTTCAGCCCGCGTGCTTTCATTGCCAAGTAAAAGAAAACAGCCAGGGCTTCTTTGCCCGCCGCCCCTTGCAGCTCTCTCGGGGTGGGGGGGTGTTGAGTGCCAGAGTGGTGAGGGACCGGCCTCTGGCATTCAGCCCTTGCATACTTGCTCCCCGGGCTCCCGGGGCACCCGTCCACAGCCAGCCACCGGCCAGCGAGCGGGAGCTGGAGCCGCGCTGCAGCGGAGGCTTGTCCTAACAGCAGGTCTGTTGGCTGGGGCGGTGGGGGTAGCTGGTCGACTGGACAGCTGTTTCGTTACCAGGTCTCCCCTTTTTGTGGAAGTTTCCCCCAGGACCCTAACGGTGAGGTCCAGATGGTCACACACACAGACTGCTTTTCGGAAAGGTGCCTTCAAACTTCGGAATTTGCGAGCCAGCCTCGCCAGCCATTTGAAACCCAGAGGAACTGAGCCTCCAGCCTTCATTTGCTATTACAAATGGTATCTTAGGCAATGCTGAGGACATTTAAAAATAAAATCTATTTTGCAGTGGTTCTAGAAAGTATGCCGATGAAGGAAACACAGTATTTATCCTGAAATAATGGTTACAATCGAACCCTATTGCACTCAGAGTTTAAGATCGCAGCCCCCAGCAAGAGGGCACCACCACTGTCCCTCCTCCACAGACCTTTTGGGGAGTGGCAGGTGTCGGTGCTGCTGCAATGTGGAAAGATCCAGACTTTGGCACCAGGAGCTACAGCACCAGAATCCAGGGCTCCAGCGCCCAAAGACATGAATTATTGGCAAAATCTTTGTAGGCATGGCTTGGCACCCTTTTGTTTCCACCAGCAGAGAAGAGCCACAGACTTAGCTTCCTGTAACCTCAGTTGACGACCAGAGGTCTGTTTTCCTTTGGACTCTCAAGGTTGCCAACCAGTGAAGAAGAAGGGCAGGGAGGCTACAGGTGAGAGGTTGCAGCCTTGGGCCAGCTAGTTTCTGGGCAGTGACCCAGGGGAAGCAGCAGGAAGAGATTTTGAAAACAACGTCTTAAACTGAGCCTCTGAGGCAGCATTGTAAGGAAAGAGGGGCTAGACAGCAATGCCCTTAGACTGGCAACACTCCAGAAAATGGAAGTCGGCGCAAAACTTTCCTGTCCCTGAAAGGATCCAGGGTCGCCAAGTCTGATGGCAGACACGGGCGCCATGAGCCCAGTCGCAAGGCACAGCAACACAAGATGGCCAACTGGTGTCCCGAAAGCCAGGGGACACTGTGTGCCAAGTGGGCAAGGCTGGCGCCAGAAGGGCTACAGAAGCCAGCTGACCTAATCCCTCCTCTCACAGACTAGAAAAACGAGGCCAACCGAGCTTCGCGGGGTTCATCCTCATGATGTTAAAACATGGAAAAAATAAGGTCCAGAAAAGGCAGGGGGTAACCTCTTCCCCGAACCATCTGGATGCTACCTTCCAAAAGCATCAGCCCCCACAGGACAGTATAACCAGAATCCTCGCAGAATGCCAGATTTGGGACCCTTAGAGACCATTTCAGAGAATTCATTTTATAGATAAGGGAACTGAGGCCCCAAGAGGACAGTGACTTGGCCAAAGTCACACAGCAAAGCCATGAAGAAAATTCAGCTTTCCTGACCCCTAGTTACGCTCTCTTTCACTATGAAGGAACAGTGTCTGCACCATTACAAGCCTCTGAAAAGGGATCCCTTCTTTGAACTGAGTGTTCTACGAAAAGCAGTGCCAAGAATATATGGTTCTTTGTAACCGCGCCCCCTCCCACCCCCGTGACTGGTACAAGGAAACTAACCAGTTTTAATTTATGTGGCTTCCTGAAAGGTTTGCTGCATTTTGCATTTGTACAAACCTGGGGCCTCGGTAGGCATTTATTACCTTTCCTCCAGTGAAGTCCTCCTCATGATAGTTCGGAGACACCGAGGGCCCACCTCTGGAGGAACGCGCCAGCTTGGTAAAGTGCCATACCTCCTCCGTGGGGGGAAGGAAGAGGGACAAAGTCCATGCCTTTCACGGAAGTATTGCTCTGTGCAGTGACTGGGGAAATGCTTCTTTCTGCCCATTTTCCCCCTTGCTGGGCACTTGCTAGAAGGCAGAGCACGCTGGGCCAGGCCCAGTTTAGTCCGGGAGAATTCCAAAGGCTGGAAACAATGGAGTCGGCCTGAAGTCTCCAGCCAAGGGAGAGGAGCGGGCAGGCCCAGCAGCATTTTTGGTGCCCAGGAAAGGAGATGCGTGAGGCTTGTGCGCTTCCAGGTGCCTTTGGAAGGTGAGCTGAGAGCCAGGAGCCGGGGGGTGGCGGGAATGACATCAGTCCAGTAGGTGGGTACCCGTGTGCTCTGCCCCAGGAAACCATCATCAGCCAGGGGGCCACGTCAGAGAAGCTTCAGCCTAAAGGTTGGTCCCACAGTCCCGCAGAGGCAGCACAGACCTGCTGCTGCCCAAGTCTGAGGGACGCCCCCAGGTGGCGCGGACGGCTGCTGGGTCTCAGCGGGTACTTAGGCCCCTAGAGCAAACAAGGAGTGAACTGGAAGAAACTAAGCGCTGAAGGGGCGCCCTCTGACCCACCAAGGAGCAGAGAAGGGCTTTCGGCTGCTGTTGTGTGATGAGGATACAAGGGGTTTCTATAGCTTTCCCCATTTGGGGGCCAGAGGGGCCATCTGACCTGGGGACAGGGACAAGGAGAGAGGACTCATGCATCGGGGAAGGCTGGGCCTGGGTGACTTATGTCCAGCTTGTAGTTTCTGATCCCCTCTGGCCAACTGGCAAAATGACCTGAGCCACAGCCTGGTCTGCCGTCTCTCCCAGCCAAGGCCTGGCGTCCAGCCTGGTTAACTGGCCCGGCATCCTTCACAGGGCAGGAAGGCAGGAGAGCGGAGAAGCGGGAGCAGAGGAGATGGCAGACCTCACCCAGCAGGCTCAGTTGTCCTCGGCGCAGGGCCTGGCTGGCCGTAACCGCTCCTCGGCCCGGGCTCGCCCCGGCTCTGACGGCCCTGGCTTCGCAGGCAGCTCACACCGCTCCAGGGAGTTGTGCGGTCGCCTGTGGACACCGAGTGCACAGTCGTCCCCTTCCTCCTGTGCCAGAAAGGGCAGAAGTGAGCTGTGGAGGACAACAGCGAGGGACAAGACACGCTCACTCCCTACCCCAGGGGTCCTCTCCAGCCTGGCAGAGGGAGGTACAGTGTAAACAAGACCAGAGCACAATGGCAGAGATTTGCTTTGGTCTGAGGACAGGCCAATTTAAACGTTCCTTAGAAACTAGGATAGACTACACCCCCAAGCTGCTGGGCTCGTAGGGCAGGACAGGGCCTGGAATGGGGGTACGGGGCCAGTCCCATAAGCAGGTGCCCAGCAGTCCTTGCATTCTGCATGTGCAGGCTGCATGCTTCTTGGGGTGAGCCATTTCCCTGCTTGGGGAGCAAGGAAGTATCCTGAAAAGGAAGCCGGACCAGGCTTTTCCTACTTCCCACTTAAAAACTACCAAAAAGCCAGGTCCCTTCCCTTTCAGGTCCTATACCTATCCCACTTCCTCTCTCTCCTCTCCAAAGCTTCAGGGACCTAAACACCCTCCCCCCCCTTCACTCTTCTACCAGAATTCTGCCTTTTCCATGTTCTCATTGGTCCTTCGAGCAAATGCAGATCAAAGAACACAAGTATGAGTGAGGAAGTCAGGCTGGCAGGATAGAAAGTGCTGGATTCAGAAACAGGAATCTTAGATTCAAATCTTAGCTCTTCCAGTAATTCCCTCGGGTGGCCTTAGGCAAGGCACTTTGTGTCGCTGACCCTCCGTTTCTAGATCTAAAAAATGGGGATAATACCTGCCCGCAGGGCTCTTGGAGAGACTGAGATGGTAGGGAAGTGCTTTGTCAGATGTTGAGTAACCTGTGAGGACTTACAGGACATTTCAAGTTAATGCACCATCACCTGCCTTTTAAAAAGAAGGAAACAATGTCTAAGTCCAAAATGTCCTGCATCCTCGTAGGCTCCGTATCTAAAAGACACTCCCAGAGGCTTCCCCTTCACGCCCCTGACGCTCTGACCTTCAAATGAGGAGGTGGTTATGGATTTATCTATCCTGTAATGAGCCTACTGTACCAGCCCTGCCCTCAGACAGAAGATGCAATGACTCAGACAGCTGTCTGGGGCAAAAGAAGAGTGACACGTGGGCACAAAGCGTATCAGGGAGGCCCAGGCTAAGCCCTCGCTCTCATTCCCCACATGCCAGCAGCCGGCTGAGCCCTGCTGTGGGGACCCTTTCCCGGGCTCTCCTCTCTGGGGTGCTTTAAGGGGACTTCCTTTGGCACTCTGGCAAACCCAGAGAATGGAGGCCAGATCTCTCTTCTTTTCGTGTGGCCTTCATATACAGAAGAGACAAAACCAGGAAAAGGGTTCTGGAAAGTCATGCTGCCCTCTGCCAAAATACCTTCTCTTCAACATCCTTCATTCTTCTTCAAGGCCAAACCCACATGATTTTCAGCAGTTCTCTGGGCAACCCAGTTCTACCCAGTATTTCCCAGCCCCATCATTCTGAGTCACACTGGCCAGAGAAAAGGCAAGTGGAAGGAGGGGAGGGAGAGAGGCAGGGGTGGGGGAGAGGGAGAGCAGGGGGCTCACCGCGCCTGCCGAGTGGTTCCAGGCTGCCGCGGTGGCTGCATCTCCTGCCCGATTCCGACGAGTGAGCACCTCGGACACAGTGAGGCTACTGTGGCTCCTTCTGGAGACAAGCTCAGGGGTGTCCCCTGAATTTCCTGCCCTCTGAGTGCCCTGCTCGCAAAGGTACAACCTGGGCTGTCCGAGGTCTGAACAGTCTGTGGCGGCCCTCTGGGTGTAGGCGTTGGGAGCTTCCATGTTTCTGCCTCCTCGAGCTGGGGGGTCTTCTAAAGAGTTCAAGTCTCGCCGACTCTTCCAGGCGTTCCACAAGGTAACATGCCTGGCGTCTGCAGAGCCCGCTTCTGAAGGGGCACCATGGCTTTTCCACCTGATTGTCTCCGCTGGGGGTGCGTGGCTATTTCTCTCCACGGGCTCTGAGGGCTTGATTATAATGCTACTCCGAGAGACCACTGTTTCTGGCCTGTTCTTCAGGGGCCCATCTCCCATTCTTTCAGCTTCTGGGAGCTGCAGGGCGAGGTCATGTTTGTGAATGGAGAGCTCCAAGGCGGCGCTGACGTGGTTGCTACCTGATGGGAGCTCTGCTGGCCCAAGCTGGATGTTGCTGGTGGACGTGTGCCTCTCCCGCGGGGCATCACCTGGGGCGGACCGAGGGCTGGGGCTGTCGGAGGGGTAGATGGTTATGCTGCTTGTCACCTTGTTTGGCCCTGGTCTGGAGGTGGATTTCTGCTTCTCCGTGGGGGCCTCGGTTCCAGATCCTCCCATGATTTTTTTCACATCCTTATCAATGATGACAGGTTTGATGATGGCCCTGGACCGCAAGGCCTCTCTGGGGCTGAAGGGCCGCTGGCTTGTCGCCCCAGCACCGTTGGCATCTGGGAACTCCACGGCATTGGCGGAAGCTCGGACAGGTTTCACAGATTCATTTTCTGTCCCAACATCTTTATCAGTCTCAAACAGGGAGGTTCTAAGTCCCCCTCGGGATTTGGCTTTTTCCCTAGAGTTGGGTTGGTGTTTGGGCTCTGGCTCCGGAGTGATGGTGGTGTTTACCAACTTGGCAGTCACGAGAGAGGTTACGTCCACGTCGTCATCTGAGTCTGGCTTCTCTCTGCCACTGGATTTGATGACTCGGCACCTCAGGGCCTCGTGCGGACTGCTGTCCTCCATCACAGCAGCTACGGGTTGATCGATGCCTTCTTTATTTGGGGTTGAAAAGCCCTGAAGGATGTTCTCTTGGCTTCTGGAGCTGTAAGGATACTTTGATAAAAGTGGAGGCTTGGAATTTGGGGAACCGGTATCAGCCTCCTGGCCACTGGCAGCCTTTTTGCCCTTGCAGAGCCCTTCTGAGGAAGATCTTCGAGATGAGGCCAGGGACCCAATCCCCTTAGGACTGCCACAGTCTGCAGCCTGATTTAACGGACTTCCACTGCTGGGTACCTGCCCCCTCTTGCCAAAGAGGGCCTCCACGGAGGTGTCAGAAGCCTTGTCAGCTCTACCCAGTATGTCACTGGGAACAGATCCATGGGTGGTATTGTCACTAAATGTTCGTGTTGTCTTCTCCACTTTTCCCTTCAACCCACTCTCGGTACCTGGCTTGGGAGTACCCTTCCAAGCTTTACTGTGCTCCTGAGCAGCTGGTGGGTAGCGGCTGAGCACTGAGGGCTGCTCCCGGGGCCTCCTCCCTTCACTCTGAGAAGAGCCTGATGCATACCGGTCTTCAGCTCTCCGTGTCTCCTGAGTCCCACTGTCTGCAGCCGCCCCTACGCTGGAAGCTTTGGCTGCCCTCCTATTAGTGAAACTAGGAGAGGAGACCTGCCTGTTGCCCAGAGAATAGTTTTCACTGTTGAGCACAAACTCCCTGTTTCGATGCCTCTCCCGCTTATGCTGAGGGGACAGTTCCCGGGGCGTGTGCTTGGACACAGGAGCCTCACTCCCATGGCCTCTGAACTTAGTCCTCTCGTGCCTGCCTTTGCTGGACAGGAAGGCCTCGTCCCCTGCCACCTCCCCATTCTCTAACTCTTTCTGTTTCTTGATTTGTAGCTTTATCTCCTCCAGTTGGCTGGCTAAGAGTTTGTTTTTATTTTGTTCACTTAGGTAATTATCCTGAAGATCATTATTTTTGGCCCTCATTTTCTTAAGTTCTTCTTCCAAAAATTCAAAATGCTTGATTTGTGTCTTAAGTTTCTCAATCTCTTGGTTAAGGTCTTTGACTTTATTGTCTTCCTGATTTCGGTTCTTTTCATTTTCGGATTTGTTTCTTGTCTCGTTCTCTACCTGCTTTAGATAATCCAGAGTGCCCTTCCTTCTTGATTCTTTGCATGGCAGTGTGTTGGAGATCCCGTCCTCAATCCGTAGGTCATTCCTTTCCAGAAGATTAGAAGCATTCCTTGTATAATCTCGGTTCATTTTTTTGTTCTGCTCCAGTTTCTGAGTGAGCTCTTTTATCAGTTTCTCATTTTCTTTCTCCTTTTCATTCAAGTATTTTCTCTCACTTACAAAGCTCAGAGTTAATGATTTCAGCTTTTCTAACTCTGACACTAAACTCTGCTCAGTTTTATCCAGGCGGTCCTCGGAAGATTCCAGTTCTTTCACTTTGACCCTGAGCATTTCCAGCTCAGAGGAGATCTTCTTTGTCAGGTTTCTCTCCTCATTCAGACTCAGACAGAGTTGGGTACAATCATTCTTACTCCTGCCAAAGGCCTCCTCCAGCTTCTCCAGTTCAGCCATTCGTTTCTGAAGCCGCTCAATCTCTGATTTCAGCTCCCGGGTGAGGTTTTCTTCCTCTTCAAGCTTCTCCTTCATCAGCTGACACAGGTCCTCCGCTCTCTTAATCTCCTCATCTTTGCCTTCGATTCTCAGCACTCGCTGGCGCAGCACTTCAATCTCTGCCAGCATGCTGGAGTTGCTGCCTTCTGCCTGAATCACCTTGTCCTGGAGATCCAGGAGCTCATCCTCTGCTTTCTGGAGGTTTTTTGTGGCTTCCTCCAACTCATCGAGACGGCGGCTTAGACTCTGTAACTTAAACCGCAGGTGGCGGCTGGAGGCGGTATCCTTGTAGTTTGTAAATTCAGCCATGACTACTGCCAGCCGGTGTGAGCTCCTAGAGGCATCCAGTTCCACTCGAGGGGATGAGAAATGGTTACCTTTCTCTTGGCATCCACAATCTTCTTTGGCAGCTGGAGACCATTATCAGTCTATAGAAGGAAAGCAGAAAGCATGTCAGGCAGCAGATCTAACATCTGTACTTCAGCTCCCAGTTGTTCTAATTCTTGTGCCTACAACATAGCAGGTGCTCAAATGTGTTGAATGAAATGAATTTTATTTATTTATTTATTTATTTTTAAAGATTTTATTTATTTATTTGACAGAGAGACACACAGCGAGAGAGGGAACACAAGCAGGGGGGTGGGAGTGCTTCCCACGGAGCAGGGAGCCCGATGCGGGGCTCGATCCCAGGACCCTGGGATCATGACCTGAGCTGAAGGCAGATGCCCAATGACTGAGCCACCCAGGCGACCCGAATGAAATGAATTTTAATAATCCTGCAGGAAAACACTGGTGCTTTATACTGAGGTGATTATCTAGTTTCATCCTAATGAAGAATTCTACAGTGGCCACATGGCAAAAATACACAGAGGAATGCCTCATTGGTCATCTTCACCATGTGCCACCTACATAATCTCAGGAGTATCCTTACGTTTCTGCAAATCATTAAGTAAACAGCTTCAGTTCTACTGAGTTGTAAAATGGGTATAATGACCCCTACCATATCTCTCCCCATTACTGTTCTGAGATAATGCAGAGGAAGCTCTTGGCAACAAAGCAGTAAATAATCATAAGATTATTAAGAGCTATGACAGCTTCAGGGAAAGAAACAGATCAGTGAAAAAGAAAATCACCTCACTGGCACTAGGGAGATAATAGGACCTAGGCTCCATGAAGGGAGAAAGAAAGGGTTATACCCCTAGAGAATTTATAATTTTGGGCGTGCCTTCACTTGAGTTCTGAGTTCAAGTTTACACTGCCTTGAGTGGTCTGGTATCAACCTGTCCTCACTGAGAATCTAACCTAAAATGGTCTCAGCCTGGTAAAATCCCTGGGAAACCTACCAGAGGTAAACAAAAAATACTCTGGAGAGATACACTCTCTACCCAGGTCACACAAGAGTCCCACAGATAAAGTCCTGCTGAACCTTGGGTTGACAATTCTAAATTACAAAACACATAAGGAGGGGCGCCTGGGTGGCTCAGTCAGTTAAGCATCTGCCTTCGGCTCAGGTCATGATCCCAGGCCCCTGGGATCAAGCCCCGCATCAGGCTCCCTGCTCAGTGGGGAGCCTGCTTCTCTCTCTCCGTCTGCCTGCCACTCACACTGTCTCTCTCTCAAATAAACAAAATCTTAAAAAATAAAATAAGGACCACTCTTTTACTATGACTGAACAAAGGATACTTATACAAATAAGAACCAAAGTTCGTAAGATAGAGACTGTAAATTAAGCACATTCCAATGTTTAAAGTCGTAAAAGAAGGATAGATGATTAAGTTACTCTTAACAAGTTCTAAACTTGGTTATAATTACTCTGTCCTCTTGCCTCAAACTACAACTTTTTAAGAACACTTGAATTCTGATTTCTTTTTTTTTTTTTTAATTTTATTTATTTATTTGAGAGAGAGAATGAGATAGAGAGCATGAGGGGGGAGGGGCAGAGAGAGAAGCAGACTCCCCGCTGAGCAGGTAGCCCGATGCGGGACTCGATCCCGGGACTCCAGGATCATGACCTGAGCCGAAGGCAGTCGCTTAACCGACTGAGCCACCCAGGCGCCCGAATTCTGATTTCTTTATGACTTACATGTTATTACCCAGCATTTTAGTTGAGATAAGAAAAAGGTGGTATCAACTAAGATCAGAAGATTTTAAAATTAACCAAAAAGAATCACTAGAAATGGAAAGAAAAATGGCAAATTAGATGCAAATGAAGAGAGTCCAGTGGTTGGGAAGAAATATAAGGAGATTACAAAGGGTAGCACAAACTTAAAAAGATTTTGTGAAAGAAAGGCTAATGGGGCACCTGGGTGGCTCAGTCTGTTAAGCACCCGACTCTTGATTTCAGCTCAGGCCTTGATCTCAGATTTATGAGTTTGAGCCCGGCATTGGGCTACATGCTGGGCAATAAGCCTACTTTTAAAAAAAGAAAAAAAGAAAGAAAAGGAAGAAAGAAAAAGAATAAAAAGAAAGAAAGGTTAATAGATGGGGAATAAAACAAAGAGGTCCAAAAATGAGGAAGTTTAACATGTGACCCAAAAGGAAGGAAGAGAGAGAATGAGGGAGAGGTAATATTTGAAGAGCTACTAGTATTTTCAAGAGTTGATGAAAGATAGGGAGCCTTATATTTAGGAAGCAAAGTCCCAACCAAGCAGGGTAAAGTTAAATCTGCACCTAGACACGTAAGTAAGGATACAGCAAAATACCACAAAGAGAAGCAACAAGAAGGAAAAGATATATGTATTCTATGAAGAAGTAACAAATGAACTAGCTTCTCAGCAGAACCCTGTATCAAATAGAAGACAGAAGACATGGTGCTATCTTTAAATTTCTAAGAGAAAACAATCATAACATAGAAGAAAATACCCAGGGAAACTATGAAAAAAGATATAATTAGAAGCCCTTTCAGAACAAAAAAAAAAAGGAAAATAAAAACCTAAGTGTTTATTATTAAAAGACCCTCACTGAAAAAGCTATTTATGGATGTACTTCAGAGTATAGAAACTGGGGCACCTGGGTGGTTCAGTCAGTTAAGTGTCAGACTCTTGATTTTGGCTCAGGTCATGCTCTCAGGGTCGTGGGATCAAGCCCCACTTTGGGTACCATGCTCAATGGGAAGTCTGCTTCTCCCTCTCCCTCTGCCCCTCCCCCTGCTTGTGGACGTGCTCTCTCAAAAAAATAAATCTTAAAAAAAATATATATATAGAAACTGATCACTTAAGGCGGGCATGATATGCAAGAAGGAATGGAAAGCAAAGAGATTTTTTTAAAAAAGATTTTATTTGAGAGAGAACACATGAGAGTGAGCGGGATGGGTGGGGGGCAGAGGGAGAGGGAGAAGCAGACTCCCCACTGAGCAGGGAGTCCAACACAGGGCTGGATCCCAGGACCCTGAGATCATTACCTGAGCCAAAGGCAGAAATTTAACTGACTGAGCCACCAGACACCCCCAGGAAAGCAAAGAAATTAACTCAAACAAGCACTGGTTCAGTTAAACAATAAACAAAAATTAACTGGGGATAGGAGGAGGTAGGGCAGGATAAAACCAAAGTAGAAGTGAACTAAAATGCTGGGTAATAACATGTAAGCCATAAAGAAAGAAATCAGAATTCAAGTGTTCTTAAAAAGTTGTAGTTTGAGGGGAGGACAGAGTAATTTTAACTAAGTTTAGAACTTGTTAAGAGTAACTTTTTTTTTTTTTTAAGATTTTGTTTATTTGAGAGAGAGAGCATGCAAGAGAGCACAAGCAGGGGGAGGAGCAGAGGGAAAGGGAGAAGCAGGCTCCCCGCCAAGCAGGGAGCCCTACGCGGGGCTGGATCCCAGGTCCCTGGGATCATGACCCGAGCCAAAGGCAGACGCTTAAGGACTGCGCCATCCAGGTGCCCCGTTAAGAGTAACTATTAATCATATATCTGATAAGGCATTAGTAAGCAGAATATATATATAAAGAACTCCTACAACTTAACAAAAAACAAGTAACATGATTTTAAAATGGACAAAGAACTTGAACAAACATCGCTCCAAAGATAATATCCAAGTGGCCTACAAGCACATATGAAAAGATACTCAACATTACTAAAATTAGGGAAATGCAAATCAAAATCACAATGGGAGATCACTTCATACCCATCAGCATGGCTGCTATCAAAAAAACAAGTGTTGGTGAGAATATGGAAAAACAAACGCTTGTGTACGGTTGGTGGGAAAATAAAATGGTAAAGCTTCTATGGAAAAGTGTGGCAGCGCCTCAAAAAATGAAAAATCAAATTACCATATGCCAGCAATTTCACTTCTGGGTATAAGTATAAAAAATTTCAAAACGGGATCTTGAAGAGATATTTGCATGCCTTTGTTCATGACAGCAATATTTGCAGTGGCCAAGAAGTGGAAGCAACCCAAGTGTCCCATCAATGGATGAATGGAGACACCAAATGTAGTATATGCTATAGTGAAATTATTAGTCTTAAAAAAGGAGATTCTGACACCTAGTACATCCTGGATGAAGCTTGAGGACACTGTGCTAAGTCAAACAATCCAGTCACAAAAGACAAATACTCTATGATTTCACTCATTTGAGGTACCTAGAATATTCAAATTCATATAAACACAGCAGAATGGTAATTGCCACAGGCTGGGGGAGAGGGGCATGAGGAACTGTTGTTTACTGGGTATGGAATTTCAGTCACACAAGATAAAAAATGTTCCAGAGATTGGTCTGCACAACAATGTGAATATATACTTAACACTACTGAACTATAAATGGTGAATATGATAGATTTTATGTTATGCATTTTTACCATAATAAAAAAATAAAAAATCTTAAGGCAGGAAAGAAGTAAAAAGCATACAGAAGGGTAGGGCAGACTTCCAGTTTCTAGTCCAGCATGTAAGGAAGTCATCACTGTGTCTTAACATATAAAAAGCTGAACAGACTGAAAATTCACAGCTCTTCTTAGATCCATGAGAGAAATGAGGTCACAAAAACCACTTCTCCAAAAATTAGACAAGTGGATGCAGGGAATACTAATTTAACAGAAGAGAAATTCACAAGTATCCCTGGGAACACCCGGCACCAGGGTAGGAAAACCTAAACTGCAATTGACAAAGTGCTGGAGGCTCAGTATGGACAACTCACTTAAGAAGAAGAGGGAGTCTTAATCTTGGGGGGGATGCAGCACATTTTATGAGCTTTACCTCCAGGAGCTGTACAAGATTCTTACAGTGAAGATGAGAGAAAACTCCCTTGTGCATTCAGCAGGGGGAGGGTTAAAGCAAGCATTCTGAAACCAGAGCCTGCAGGAAGGGAAATACCCAACTGCAGCTCCCTCTAGCCATCCTGTACCACCTAAGGGGCGTAGGAGTTTGAGGGGAGAAGGCCATCAATAAAGGCCTACTTAACTCAGTCCTTTTTATCCAGGACATCAAGTCCTGC